AGTGAGAAGCCCATGCACCACAACGAAGAGTAGCCCCTGCTCTCCGCAACTAGAGAAAGCCCGCTCACAGCGACGAAGACCCAGTGCAGCCAAAAAAAAAAAAAAAAAAAGACTGGTATTTAACCAAACAACAACACTGTAGCCTGGCCAGGTTGGCACAGAAAATTAATGATCACATACTTTCTTTTACATCTTCATTTATTCCAAACTAAGTGTCTGTAGAACAAATGAAGATGAAATCTTTCTATTGCCACGAATACTGGCTTGCTGTGTGCACTGTTGCTGTCCCACTGCTCTGTGCTCTGTCCTGCTGTGTGTTGTAACTCTTGGCTACTTAATCTCTGTTGTGATGAAATTCTGACTCCTCGGGGCATCTGGTTTCCCTCCCAGAGCTGGGGAGAGCCTTGGGCCCTGTTTTTCCTCACTTCCTCTCTCTCTGAGGAAGCAGTCTGCACAGAAGTAGAGCGCCTCCCACCTCTGTTGAGGCATGGAGTTTTTCCCACAGGTTCTCCTGATGCCCTTTGCTCTCACGAGGAGGAGGTTGTTGCAGTCTTGCGTTCTGTCCTGGCCACACTCACATCCTCTCTTCTCTTTCCCCATCAGCAGGACTCCCCGCTCCTGGGCCCTGTCTGACTGCCCAGGATGGGCCAGGGCAAGGCCTGCGGGACCCAGCTTGTGCAGCCTCGGGGCTGAGGGAAGTCTCTGGCAGTGCTGGCTCAGGTGAGGGGGTCTGGGAGGAGACGGATGTCCCAGATGAGATTCTCCCCTCTCCTGGGCTTAGACCTCGGCGACTGTGTTTGTGGAGTTCAAGCTCAAGGGCTTAGAGCAAGGGTTGGTAGATTTTTTCTGAAAAGGGCCAGATAGTAAATAGTTCAGGTTTTATGGGCTGTATGGTCTCCCTGGTGATGCCTCAGCTCTTCTCTCCTGGCACAAAAGCAGCCACAAAAGCAGCCACAGACAGTATGAAAAGACATGGGCGTGGCCATGAAACTTCATTTACAAAGGCAGGTTCACCCACCCTGAAGGAAAGGCAAGGGGAGACAGGTGGCTTTAAGAAAGGTTTGGGGCTCGAACAGCAAGAGAGTCCTACCACCTTGAGCTGGGACATGGCACTGCACGCAGACACCATAGGGAAGCTGGTCCTGAGGGCCACACGAGGGGCTGGGCACGGGGTCCTCAGGACGCCCTGAGTGTCACTAGCCAGCAGCACTCTCTCTTGGGCCTACACCTGGGGTGGAATTGCTCAGTCACGTGGTCACTCTGTGTGACCGTTGGAGGAACTGCCAGAATCAATTCCTTTGTAAAAACTCCTGGCGAAGGCCAGGGAGGTGGTTCCATCCTGTCTCGGTTGTACAGATGAGGTGGATGTGATCTCGAGCCCATGCTTGGCTTCCTGGACAAGCCAGTGTGGAGGCAGGAGGGGGCTGCATGGGGGTGTGGGGTGGACAGCATCTCGGCAGGGACAGTTCCCAGCACTGGGAGAGCCTGTCCTTCCCCCGTCAGGTCAGTGGGCCTCAGCGTCCTCATGTGTAAATGGGACTGTCACAGTACCACCTCACGGCCTTGTGGGTCTGGCCATGTTTCTAGTTCCCAGAATCAGGCTCTGAATGAGGCATCCTGCGGAGGGTGTGGAAGGGGAATTTGAAGGCACTTCCTGCGTCAAGGGCCGCCCCACCCTGCCTCCCCTTCTTCCTCTCCCCCTCCCCGTGGAGCCCTCAGCGACTGTGCTTTCTCTGTCTCAGAGCTTGGGAGGCAGTTTGAGGATGGAGAGTATGCCAGGGCGGACGCGTCGGTGAGAACACGGTGGGGCCAAGCGCTCCCAGGTCTGGGTCAGGGGCCTGGCCTGACCAGACCCCAGCGGCCTCCAGACAGAGGGCGGCCCCTTGGGGTCCGGAAGCCGCACACGTGCCCCGAGTGCGGCAAGGCCTTTAGTAAAACGTCCCACTTGACCAAGCACCAGCGCACGCACACTGGGGAGCGACCCTACCAGTGCCAGGTATGCGGGAAGCGCTTCGGCGACCGCTCCAACTGCAGCACGCACCAGCGGGTGCACACAGGCGAGAAGCCCTACGCCTGCACCCAGTGCGGGAAGTGCTTCAGCCAGAGCTCCAGCCTGGTCATCCACCGCAGGACACACACCGGGGAGCGGCCCTACGCCTGCACCGAGTGCGGGAAGCGCTTCAACAACAGCTCACACTTCAGCGCGCACCGCAGGACGCACACAGGCGAGAAGCCCCACACCTGCCCGGCCTGTGGCAGGGGCTTCCGCCGGGGAACCGACCTCCGCAAGCACCAGCGCACACATGGCGGGGAGCAGCCACTTCACAGACCCCAGAGGCTCCAGGACGCCCCAGGGGCCCGAGCCTGATGATTCAGGAAGCTGCCAGAGTCGTTTCTGTCCCTGAGCCAGAAACTCTGGTCTTCAGGCATCTTCAGACTCCGTTTGCTCCCGTAGGCCCCAGCACGAGGACACATGGTGGGACATTTGGGGGGCCCAGGCTGAGGGAAGAAGCTGGGCCCTGCCGGTGTATTAGGGTCTGGGGCAGCCACACTGAGGACCACAGCTGGGCCGCTTACAGCAGCAGGAATTCTCTCACAGTTCAGAAGGCCAGAGTCTAAAATCAAGGTGTCTGCAGGGCTGCCTCCTTCCTGCAGCTCTGATGGAGGATCTGTCCCAGGGCGCTCCTGGCTCCTGGTGCTGCCAGCTGTCCTTGGCGCACCTGGGCTTGTGGCCACATCACTCTGCCTCCACCTCCCCACAGCCTCTTCTGTGTGTGTCTCCATATGTTGTCTCCTCTGGTAAGGACGCAGTCATTGGATTTAACTGATTACATCTGCAGAGACCTTGTTTCCAAGTAAGGTCACCTTTTGAGATCCTGGATATGAATTTGGGGGGACACTTTTCTGCCCACTTTGGGGGAAGCCTCAATGGCTATGGTCTCTTGCAGCTTTACGTACCCCAGCCTTATCTGGGCTTGGTCTCCTGCCTTTCCCCCGAACCTTGCTGCACTTTCAAAATGTAGCCTGTTGCGGGGGGGTGGGGGGTGGTTTCCAGTATCACAGTGGTGGTGGGTCACCTTCGCAGAGCCACGGCTGTTCTGTAGGATGGATGGCTGGTGCGGGAACGCTTCCCCGAGATCCCATCTTTCAGCCTCCCCCAGCCCATCAGGAAGTCCCCAGGGTAGAGTGCCAGGGTTGCCTTTGTTCCGGCCCAAGTGGCCGTGTCCCAGGATGCAGGCCGGCCTTGGTTACCCCACTTTGAATTTCTGAGGTGGATGTGCCTCTCTGATCTGTTCACATCCATGGTCTCATAGTGGCTGAGGGGAGCAGTAAGAGGCCTTGTTTGCTTTAGTCATTAGTAAAGTTGTGGGGCAGCTCTGAAACCACTGGGTTCCAGAATGTTCCATTCAATTGCTAGACGTATTTTTACCTTTCCACACAACCCAGGTTCCGGGGTGTGTGACCTGCTCTTTGTTCCCTTAATAAACGACGTCAGTCCGTCTGGTCCCTGTGCTCCGTCCTGTGTATTCTCTGGAGAATGGGGCCGCCCAGTTTAGGGATGGTTTTTAACCTTGTGGGACACGTACTATCCAGCCAGGCCAGTGTCACCAACCACCCGCCTGCCCCTTACAGGCTCACTTCTCACATCCAGGCTGGTGCTGGAGGTGGCTGCCTTCTGCCACCTGCGAGCTGGGCCCATCCAATGCCTGTTCCCTGACATTCTCTCACAGTCCTGTAACAGGTCTTCATGATTCTACTGCTCTAGATGGAAACTGAGACCCGAGAGCTTGAAGCACCTTGTCCAGGTGGCAGGACCAGCTTTCAACCCAGGTCCGAGCTCCCAACGCCTCATCCTCCTGGCTTTCCTTGATAGACAGTAATTCGCAGAGTTGAACTTGGAACTAAGTTTATTTTCTGTCACTGTTGGGGAAACATTCTGAGTGAACTTACTGCCATTAAAAGGGGTAGAGAGTGGGGGAAATGGAATTTTTAAAATAGCCTTTGTTCTTGAGGGCTAGTGGCTGCAGTGGAGGCTGTGTGCCATGTTCAGACTGCCTGCCCAGCGGCTGAGTCCTGACCATGCTGTGTGCACCCTAGAGTGGAGGGTGGGCGGCCTGCGCGGGGGGAGAGGATCCGGGGGCCCCAGGTGATGGTAGTCTGGCCACAGTCCCTGCTGGAGAGAGGCCTCCCCTGGGCCTCCCGTGACTGCCTCACATCTGGTCTGTAATGCAAATGTCCGTTGTGGGGAATGGGGGCTGCTGGTAAGGCCCCTGTGGCCAGATCAAGTAGTCTGTGGCCCTGATCCTGGCTGCATGTGGCTGGCTGAGGCTGGGCAGGGCCTGTCTTACCTGGTGCGGGGTTGGATGGGAAGAGGCCCGTGCCCATCCTCAGGGCATAGCAGCCGGCGGTGACCCCAGCTAAATGCTGGAACATGTTCCCAAATGCCAAGGACCCTGCTGGGCTGCCTGATCCCATGGCCTGGGGAACCTGAGGTGATTGCTCTGTTCTTCCCATTGGCAGACAGAGCAGAGGGGCGCTGAGACTCTGAGACCTTGGACACAAGTTGGAGAGAGAACAGAGGTGCTGCAGATCAGGGCTTCAGCCTGTTGGGAGCAGCTGGGCTGAGAACAAGTTATGGAAGGACTCTGAAAATCAGGGCCGGGGTTGGGAGGTCGGGGGGATACTTCTAGGAAAGTAGACGGCAGAGCCGCCTGCGGCCCACAGCTGTTGCTGGTTGTCCACGGAGACAGTTTCAGGTGTTAGAACATTCACATTCTATCTGTATTTAAAAGTCCATCCACCTTTACTTTGGAAGCACCCTAAAACATATACGTACTATGCCTTTGTGTCTTGGTTGAAGAAAAAAAAAGCAAATTTCAATCTGCCCCTCTGGATCAAAAAGTTCATTTGGTCCGTGTGTGTGTGGTGGTTTGTGAATTTAGGAACACAAAAGAGCAAACATCCAGGACTCAGAAAATGAAGCTAAATTTTTCAAGACCTTTTCAATCCTGAAATTCTCCAAAGGAGTTTTAAGTTTTGGAGTTAAAAAGAAATAATAATAATAAATGCACATTAAAGAGAAAAAAACGCAGAAATGGAAAAAGGTGAAAAAGCCTCGTGGTCCCACTATCAGAACAAAACCGTTGTTTTCACGGTGTTTCCTTCTGGTCCATTTTCAGAGGATTTGGGGCCATTTGATTTGTCATGCTACGCCTACAAGTTTGCACTGGCATCTTTGCTCTCAGTGCATGAAGATGTTCTGACTGAATTCTAGCAGAGGGCTGGCAGCAGATCCTCAGTTGGAGGGTCCCTGTGCTGCAAAGGCACATTCTGATGGAGACGGGAGAGCGAAGGGACCACCAGGGCCTCGGGTGTTGATGGAAAGGCAGATTTATTTATTCACCTCAGATTATTCACCTTTTCAGATCCGTTACTGGAGGCATCTACAATTGGCCCAGAGGAGGCACCAGGGCCTCCCTGGCTGTCCCTGGCCCAAGAGGGTCCCCCAGGGCCCTGGGACTTCCTCCTGGGGGTCTGGCCTGGGCACTCTGTCTCTCATCCCAGAGTGTTACATGTTGCTTCCCCCCGGGGCTGGATCCAGCCGTATCTCCAGGGGCCTGAGCCTTCTGGCTTCTGGGACCCTTGCCAGCTGGCAGCTTGGGCTGAGCCGATGCCTTCCGAAATGCCCGGAGCTGTTGGAGGAGCCGACTCTTCCCCGTGCAGTCCCTGTGACACAAGAGAAGCAGCCGCCATCAGCACCCAGTGCAGCTAACCTCCCAATACTTTGCCACCGAAACAGGACACAGGAAAACCGGAGTGCTTCCGGGGCGTGTGCCTGGTTCTCAAGACACTAAAAAGTCAGGATTGCGGCCTTCCAGCCCTCGCCGTGTCAGCATGTTAAAGGCTTCTGGGAGGAAATCTGTGGGACACTTCTCAACCCAAGTTTGTTTTCCCTCTTTAATCCTATAATGCCTAGCTACACGCCACATTGGGGAAAAGCTGTGTTAGACTCTGACGTTCCCAAAGGATGGGATCTTCAGGCTCTGTAATTCTAAAAACGATGGAGACTGCCAGAGCATATAATGCAAATTCACCCTACAACCACGGGGTGGCCTCCACATGTCAGAGACATGAACCTTCCCTGAATTTGACATTTCACTTAATTGACTCAAGCCTTTCATTTCTGGCTGACAGCCATCACTTTATTCCATCCCTTCATTTTCTCTTCACTTTTATTGCCATCACTAGTAGGGAGCAAATCAAGTTGGGGGGGGCAATTTTTCAGAAAGAAAACGTAATCCCTTCTCAAGACCAAGCTAAGCATCCTTGGGGATGTCTGGAGAACAGGCCAGGCCAGACATTGCTAGGCTACCCTGCCCGCCTCCCAGACCCGCCCCCCAGACCCGCTCACACCCTCCTGTGCTAGCCCTGTGGGTGCCAGACAGCTGAAAGCACCGATGTTAACATGCGGGCCGGGGCTTGCTGCTGAGGCCAAGGTGAGCATCTCAGGCGGTGGGAGCCCCCCTGTGGTTACCGTAGCCTGGCTGGGCCCTGCTGGTCTCGCTGAGCTGCTGTCTCCTCTTCCCCCTCCTCGCTGTCAGAGGAGCTGGAGCTGCAGCTGGAGTGGGAGTTGGAGCTGGAGCTGGAGCTGCAGCTGCGGGGAGAGGAAAGGTGGGTTCCTCTGGACATAACCAGCGCACTCCAGCCAGGCATGGTTCCCACCAGGGACTTGGAGCACCCGCGTCTCCCTGGTGACCCAGGGCAGGAGGATGGGCAGGCTGGCCAAAGCCCAGCCAGCCGAAACCAAAGGGCCACTGCAAGTGGTGGAGGAAGCAGCCAGGGCCAGGTACCCCAGCCTAGGCTAAGTCTGCTTAGGACTCTGCCAGGAAAAGATAACCCTTGGCCCCAGCTTCCTCCCAACCTGCGGGGAGAGCCTGCTGCTGGGACCCAGTGGGACTGTGGGCCAGGCTCAGTTCTTGGCCAAAAGCACTTCTCAAGTGAGCAGTGCCCCCAGGACCCGCCTGTCCAAGTCCCCCTTCCTCCTGAGGCCAACATGGCAACCTGAAGGAGCAGGTTTGCGGCAGGGCTGTCACTGCTCCCTGTACCTTTCCGAGGGCCCATGGTCTGATGGCTTTGTCGGCCGCAGGTCAATGAAGACGGTGGGAGGCCCTGCTGGGCTCCTTAGCTGCGTGTCCATGGCCAGCGCCTGGAAGCCCAGCTCCCTGGAAGCGCATCTGGGGTGAGAAGAGCCGGGCGGCTGAGTCACTTCCCGGTGACCACTGTGTGCTCTGCCACTTATGTCCTGGGCAAGGCAACCTCTCTGAGCCTCAGTTTCCCTGTTTGTAAAGTGGGGGTAATGGTAGCACCTACCTGATCATATTCTTGAGATAAAAGAGAAATACACATCAAGTGCCCCACCCATAAATCAAGGCCCAATAAATGCTGAGAGAAGCCAATTCTAGAGAGGACAGGGGCCATGCGTGGTCCCACCTGCTTCCGGCCTCCTGCGGCTTGATGTCCTGGGGCATGTCAGAAGGCACCCTCCAGGCAGAGGAAAAGGCTCTGGACTGCATGGCACATAGGAGGGTGAGTTGTTCCATGAGCCTGTCCTGGGTGCTTGGCTTGGCATGGTCTGTGGGGAGGGGGGAGGCAGCTTAGTGGGGATGCAGCCCCCTTTGGCTCACAGCAGCCTGAGCCTCAGGACCCCTCGTGTGGACATGCCTGGGCTTGTGCTCGGAGAAGTGCTGGGGGCCAGTGGAGGCCCAGCCCACCCTCTGCCACTCACAGCTTTTGTGTCGCCCCCTCCAGCTCAGCAGGGCGAGGGGCGCTGTCTTCTTGAGCAGGGAGCTGTGTGTGAGCCCGGGAAGCAGGGGTGACGTCCTGTTAACAGTGTAGTCCACGTTCTCACTCCGGTCCCACTTGTCAGAGGGAACCATCAATAACAGTTCTGCGTATTTGCTTTTCTTTTTTTTTTAAGAAGCAATGGGATCATCCTCTATAGATTTTTTTTTTTAACTGAATATATTTTACATTTTTCTGTGTTGAGAGAAATGAATAGATAGATAGATAGATAGATTCCATTTGTTGAGCTGCAGAGAATTCTCTGGTTGACTGATTAGCTAGACTCCTACTGAATGTTGAATGTGGTTTGCTTCCAGTTTTTCACAAGTATGAACAATGTTGCAATGAACATCTGTGAGGGTGTGTTTAGGACAGCCTTTAGAAGTGGAGTGAATAGCTTAATCAAAGGCTTATGTGCCTTTAAATGGAGAACAGATTCTGCCACATTGCCCGCCAAAAGGGGGCACCAACTACAGCCCCCCAGCCCTGCCCCAACTTGTAGGAGAGTGAGTTTCTCCATATCCTGCTCTAAGGGGTTAAATTCCAAACAAAGCCCTTTTTAAAATAGCACCAGGGGCTCTTGGCCACAAAGGAGCCTTTGCTCTGGAACGGGAGGCCAGAACCCCCGCAGCACCTTTGCCTCAGACCTGCCTCCACTCACCTTTGTGGGCCAGAGTGGCCAGGAGGGGACAGGGAACTTTTTTACGAAACTGCCCAGAGTGAGGCCACAAGTGCAATGAAGGAATCATCCCTGGCTTTGTTTGGTAAACGTGGAGGCGGTGGAAACAGGATTCTGTTTAGAAGCGGGCTGAAGGGGTACCAAATGCAGAATTACTTTGCTCCCAGAAAGAAAGAGACGCAGGCCTGAGGAGGTGGGGGGGAAGAAAAGGCAGGGACCCTGTCTGAAGGGCTTCCTCTCGTATCCCCAAGGCTTGGTCCACCCCAGGAACATAGCAGGCAGTCACATATGTAATGGATGAATGAATGAGTGTCAGTGAGTGAATGGATGGGTGGATAAAGTCTTGCATCCTGGGTGTGCAGGACGGCGAGGGCTGAGCAGCAGAGAGGCGCAGCAGATGTGGCGAGCTGCTGGGCTGACTGTGCCCAGCCCATTGCCCTATTTTATTGGGAGGCCCTGGAAGGAGCCACTTGTGGGTATGCACTTGGGCCCCGGCGTTCAAGGTCAGACCTTGGCCCTGGAGGTGGTCTGCTGCCCACCACGCGGCTCCAGAAGCGCCATCTCCCAGTTCTTCTCGCCCTGTCAGACTCTGAAGGACTTGATCCAAATCCCACTCTTCAAGTTGCTGAAATAAGTAAAGTGGTGATTATGAGGCTGCTCTGGGGTCCCAGGAACAGGAGCGCCAGATTTCACAGCTGCCGTGACTCACACAGGCAGTTCTGGGATGTCTTGGGCAGAAACCAGGGCTGAGATGAGGCAGCTCGCTCACCCACCCCGTGTGGGTTGCAGAATGAACTTCCTCCGTGAAGGCTGGTGAGGCCACCTACCTTCCTAAGCAATAGTTTTATTTCTGGCACAAAGACGTTGTCTGACTTGGAGGAAACTCAGTGTCGTATTAAAACTTTTTAGGTTCATGCAGGTTTAGAATGTTGGGAGGTTAAAACGTTTTGCTCTTTTAAGAAACAGATTGTTCCAGGCAGGTGCTAGGACTGGAGGGCTTGGAAGAGGGGTGTGGAGGCGGTGGTGTGATGAGGGGGGAGGACGTTAATCAGGAATTATTGTGTCTTGTGTATGGCCTTGCAGCTCCTTGTAGCCCCATAGGGGAATGAAGATAAAGGGGTTCAAGGAAAGAATGGAATTGATAGGATAGAATTGGTGAAAGTGACCTCCATGTTCACCTTGATGCCAGTTTTCTCTAAGTTGTTAAGAAAATTTGTCAAATAAGGCAAAAAAGAGTTTTGTGATGTTTTAGTGTCATGCGGGAGCATCTTCTAAGGAGCCCATCTTTCTAGGGGAGGGCTGGTGTGCACAGTTGACCAGGGCTCACCTGTTTGACAACTTTGTAAAACTGAGAAGTGTGACGGTTTTCTTTTCCGTCCATTGGAGCAGCTAACCCCAAAGGTACCAGTTCTGTTGCCCTGTAAGTGCTGACCTATTGTACTTAATGTAGCAATTTAATCTCTGCGTTCCCTCCCCCCTCCCCACCCCACCATGTACAAAATCCCAGTTTCTCATAATTTCTTTGAACCGGCTTTGTCATCCTGCTGGTTCCCTTGTTAATGAGCTAAATACAGGGGCTCACCATTTGTATGAGAACAAAGGCCTGATGTGAGATTACACTTTGTCAAATCTGTTACCTATCTCATATATCTTCATGATCATGCTTGGGATTAGTATTCTTTTCTCTTTGTTTAAAGAAGGCTGGCGTCTCCTTGCTCTTCCTTGTTCACTTTAACTCTGAGGATGGTCTGTCAGATAGGTAGGACTGCCTGCCTGATGATGGGCCTGGTGCCATGGGCCTAAGGTTGTTGCTATAGACTGAATCTCTTTGTCCCTCCAAATTCATGTGTTGAAATCCTAACCCCAATGTGATGGTATTTGGAGGTGATTAGGTCATGAAGGTGGAACTCTCATGAATGGGATTAGTGCCCTTAAAAAGGAGACCCCAGAGAGCTCCCTCACCCCTTACAAATGAACCAGGAAGCATGCTCTCACCAGACACCAAATGTGATGGAGCCTTGACCTTGGACTTCCAGCCTCCAGACTGTGAAAAATGAATTTCTGTTGTTTAAGACCCCCAGTCTATGGGATTTTTGTTACTGCGGCCCAAAGAGACTAACACAGGCATAGTGGGCCAGCCCTCGAGTTGGCCTGGGGAGGACCATCGCCCTGGGGAAGGCTGGGCTAGGGGGACGCCTACCTGGAGGGAGAGCAAGGGCGGTCCCCGCTGGGGCCCCTCTGGCAGCGTTTCCGCAGCATCACAGGGCATCTCCTTCACTCCACTCAGGTCTTGGCAGGCTGGGTCCTGGGCATCCCAGGTGACTTTGTGAAGTATGTCTTTCTCGATCATCTTCCTTCTCTCCCTCCGGAGGGCTCTGCGGTTTGCAGAGTCTGAGCCCTCCTGGGCCCATGAGGCAGCGCCTGGGGGCTCTGTCTGCAGGCCTGCTTCCTGAGAGGAGAGAGTGGCCTCTCCCTGTGGCCCCTGGCAAGGACTCTGTGATGTACTGGTGTTGAAGGCTGTGTCCCCATCGTCATCCTGCCACGTGGGGGTCTCCACAGGTATCCTGAGAAGAGAGCTGCTCTCATCACCGCTCTGCAAAGGCCTGCCAGGGGCCCTTCCTTCCAGAGAGACTGACTCCTGGGCCTGGGGCCCAGCGTTCCACTCTCCCCTGGGTTCCCCGGCGGATTCCACAGGCACTACAGCTGGCTACAGGGGAAACAAGCGTCCTCGGTTAGCAGCCTCAAAACATACCTCGGGGAGTTTTTGTGTGCGGTAAGATGTGTATAGAACATAAAATCTGCCATGTGAACCATTTTTTGTTTTTTTTTTGTTTTTTTTGTTTGTTTGTTTTGCGGTACGCGGGCCTCTCACTGTCGTGGCCTCTCCCGTTGCGGAGCACAGGCCCCGGACGCGCAGGCTCAGCGGCCATGGCTCACGCTCCGCGGCATGTGGGATCCTCCCGGACCGGGGCACAAACCCATGTCCCCTGCATCGGTAGGCGGACTCTCAACCACTGCGCCACCACGGAAGCCCCATGTGAACCATTTTTAAATGTACAGTTCAGTGGCATTGAGTATATTCATAATGTGGTGCAGCCATCACCACTGTCTATTTACAAAGCTTTTTCATCACCCTGAACAGAAACTTTGTACCTCCCCTCCCCCAGCCCCTGGTAAATGCTCATCTACTTCTTGTCTCTATGGGTTTGCCTGTTCAAGATATTTCATAGGCGTGGAATCACACATTTGTCTCTTGTGTCCTTCCATTTAGCTTAGTGTTTCCAAGGTTCACCCATGTTGCGGCATGTGTTAGAACTGCATTCCTTTTCATGGATGAATAATATTCTGTTGTATGGATGGTCCTCATTGTGTTTAACCATTCTGTCTGTTGATGGATACTCAGGTTGTTCCCCCCTTTTGGCCATTGCGAACAGGCACACAGCAGTTAGAGGTGGACAAGATGAGACCCAGGCCCTTTGTCTCCAGAGTGAGCCCACGGCCTCAACCCCTGTGAGTTGGTACAGACTTTCCCATCCCAGGTTAAAAAATAATTGTCCAGAAGAGTTGCCGAGGTAATTGTAGAAATGAAGAAAACACAAAATAAAGTGACATGGACATGGTTCCAATTGAACTAATCAGGGGACTTGGCAGCCCTGGCAATTCTCCTGTTTGAGGTTATTTCAGATATATTTCTAGGCATGGCTGAGGGTGTGGGTGATTTCTGTCATGGTGCTGGGAGGGGACACGCCCTGGCTCTGTAAGATGACCCTGTGTCAGTGCTTGCACTCAGAACTGCAGAGTCTTGGCATGTACCCACTCCGTCCAAATACCAAACTCCAGCATAGCTTCTGGCAGCGTAAGCCTGTGCCCCTAGGATTACCCCAGCGCCCCATTAAAATGCCTGCCTGAGAAGGCTCCATGCTGCCAGGAGAATTTATTATTTGTTCTAGCCAACACCTGATGATAGGCCCCTGACCTCCCTTTCTTAGAGCACTTACTAAAAAGGTCTTATAATTGTGAATATGTGTCTCTTACAACCCAGAAGCATCTGTCACTGACCTGAGAGCCGTTCCCTTGAAATATACTCATCAGGAAGGACAGGGCCTCTGCCTCCCTTCTCTGTGGGAGGATAGGCTCCTGCCTCCCACACCTGCCAGGCAGCAGACACACCTGGCCTAATTGCAGCTTCACTGACCGGCTCTTTGTGACTTTTCACTTTTCTGACTCCACTGAGCCCTCCTCACCCCCTCCCTCAGTCTTCCTTTGAAACACCCGTCACCTCTGCACAAATCAGACGGAGCTCAGCTCTTTCCCCTGCTGTCAGTAGTTACCGAATAATATCTCCTTCCACTGCTTTAACTAAGCATCAAGCCATTAACTTTAGATTTAAGAGTTCTTGGTCTTACCTGGGACCCTGGGAAATGGGGAGACAAGAGGATGGAAAATTCCCTCTGACATTTGGCAATGACCGCAACTACAATACTTAATTCTGAGCGTTCTGTGGCATTTGCTAATTGTTTTCTGTATTCATCTTACCTCCCCAGCGAGGGGCACCTCTTACCTCTGAATCCCCACTGTTGCCCTTATTCAATCAACAAATGTTTAGGGAGGGCAGGATTTTGTGAGAAGCCAGATAGTGCTGAAGCCAGCTGGGTTAAAGGAGGCATTTATGACAACAAATTGTGACAATGGTCAGAGAGCTCAGGTGGAAATAGGACAGCTGGGAGGTGTGTGTGTGCGTGTGTGCACACGTGCATGTGTGTGTGTGTGTGTGTGTGTGTGGTGAGGGGTCAAAGGGAAGAGCAGGGAGCAAAATCAGATAGAAAATCTCATCCTCATCCCCAGCTCTAAGTGTTCTGGGCTCCTGGGAGCATGATGTGCACAAGGCCATTAGATATTTGGTGTCTGATCTCCTTGGGTTATACCTGGAGAAAGGCTTGGGTGTGCAGAGATGCTATACCAGGGGCTTTAACCTCTTTAGACCCACATTGCTGTTAGAGTCCAGCGAGGGCCATGGACACCCAGACACACACCCACACCCTATTGTGCTTAAAGGGTCCTGGCTTTATGGATCCCTGGATCCTGCATTCCACAGACCTCAGGAGGAGACCCAGAGGAAGTGACCCAGGCCCCGTCAGGGTCTTCGGCCAGTTCTTCTGACAAGTCTGGAATCAGGGCGGTTTGATTTCGCTGGAAGATGAACAGCTCCTCTTCCTCGCAGTTTGACTGTGACAAATGAGAGTTCTCTGGATTATATGGCAGCAGGCAGGGCCAGGTGCACCTCAGCTTCCACCCACCCTCCCTGCCCCGCTGCTCTCCAGCTGTCTGGGCAGACCAGTTCTCTTCCGAAGGGACTCGCCATGGCTGGTTCCTGCCGCTGACTTAGAAATGGGCTTGGCAGCACCACCTGGTGAAGGTGAGATCCAGGGCTCCCAGTTCTGCACGTACCTGCCACCCCTAAGACTTTGCGTACAGCAGCTGCTCACTTAGTGCCTGGCACTAAATGAACAGAGCAGTGAGGTGACAGCTGAAAGAGCAGAGTCTGGGCCTCCCCGTACCCTGCAACAGGGAACCTTGGTGCTTCACTTACATGACATTGAGCTGATAAGCTCCAAAGCGGTCCTTGGTCGGCATCATGTTTGTCACGGGAAGAAAGGGCATTGGGGGCCTAGGAAGATGTAGGAAGAAGGTGCTTGCTTACCGAGGAGGAATCTGAGTCCAGAGATGGGAGCTGCTCCTTGACGGCCTCAAGGATGGCGTCCCAGGGATTGGGCAGTAAGGGCCGCACATCTTTGTCATGGGATGCCATGGGATGCTTCTCGGTGTGCCCTCATCCAAGGAACCTTGCGGAGGACATGGAGTGAGGTGAGAGGGTCCAGGAGCAAAGGGTCAAGAGCTCAGGGGGCTGCCTTTTCAAAGCATATACCATCCCTTGCCTTGGGGGATGAAAACAGATTGGGAGACCACCCACCCCTTCTTCCTTCTAGCCTGCAGGTTCCTGTTACTGAGGGCCAGGCACTGTGCCCTGCATTGTGTGTGTGTGTGTGTGTGGGTGCAAGTGTGTATGTGTGTGTAGTGCAGTATGGAGCCTGCAAATGTATGTACATAGTGATATTTTATGATAATATATAGATATATGTATTGATATATAATGATATATGTACTTGATGTGTAGGTATATGGATGATATACAGAATGATACATGTATATGACATACAGATATTTGTAAACTATGTATATCCCATACAACAGACACTATTATTATCTACATTTTATAGGCTGAGATTATATCATTAGTAAAGACAAAGACAGAATTTGTATCAAAGTCAGAGGGGATTTCAAGCCCCACTACTCTTTACTGCCCCCTTACAAAGGAACAGTCTAGAGACATTTTGGAGTCCCGCGGACACTTTTTTTGGAGTTGACACTCAAATTAACCCCTTATACCCAGGCACTTAGGCAACACGTCCCAGAGTCTAACAGAAGGCCCAGTCCCTCAGGGGTCAAGGGGGCTTAGAAATGTGGGGTGATGGTACTTCAGAGCCAGTGTCTGGAGAGTACTTGCAGCCTGAGAGCCCTCTGTAACCATAAAATGGGAAAAGAACACTCCTGCCCCAGCCCTGGTTCCCATCAGGAAAGCAGCAGGTGAGTGGGGGCTTCTTACTTCTTCTGTGCTCACAGGAGTGGGGCAGGAGCTTGGTGCACCTGACCTGGGAACAGCAGAGTGGGGACATATCTGGTATATACGTCACGGGATGTTCTCCGGCTGCAGGTCAGGTCAGAGGGCAACAGAATCACCCAGGTGAAGGGGACTACCAGAGACTCTAAGTTCTCCAGGAGGACAAGGCAATAGGGGAGGAAAAGGCATTACAGGCTGCGGGAAGAGCACGTAAGAGCTCAGAGTGAAAAGTGCCCAACATGTGTGGGAAGAAGTTTTCAGTTGCTGGAATATACGGTGCAAACGGACAAGACCGTGAAGGGTCCTGAACGCCAAGTTGAGGAGCTTGGCTCACCCAGCAGACGAGGTTTACGCTAAACGCTGCACGAAACAGCAGCTCCCTCCGAATCCTGACTGCCTCCACGTCCGTTTCTTGGCTGCAGCCCGTTAGCCCCGCCCAAAGCTCCGACCCCCACCCCTTCCTGCCGCCGGTCAGCCGGTTGTTATGACAACTAGACGCCAAAGTCCTCCTGGGTCAGGCTTTTAAATTCTAAAGGTCGGAAACACGAAACCCATCGTGCGTCCTCCCACCGATCCCCAACTCGTTTCCCTAGCCCCCACCCCGTCCAACTCCCAACATTTATCTCCGCAGCTGCGGCAAGCCCGAGGCCGTTCACCTCGGCTTCAGCCTCCCCGCCTGGCGCGGTCCAGACAGGGATATAAACAGGCTCCAGCGCGTCCCTCCGGTCCTGTTCTCCCCTTTGGGCCGCGGCGTAATTACTGAGGCTGTCGCTGCCTTCGGAATCCCCGCTCAGCAGAGTATTATACTACGGCACTGCCAACTCCTTCCCACCCCCCGCTCTTCTTTCGGGACTTGGAGCGTCCTGTCTCTCCTGAAACTCGATTGGTTTCCCTGGCCAGCGGAGGGGCGCGGTAGGGCGAAATCCCCCTGCTCATTGGATGCCGCCGACGTCACACAGCGAGCTGGGCGGGCTGACCGGGAGGTCCGGGTGCGGGACGGACGAATTCCACAGCGCCCGGGGGACCCGCGAGCGTCCCGGCGTGCTCTGCGCCTCTCGCAACCACTTCCGGGGCGGGAGCGGGGCCGCTGGGTCCGCGCGCTGTGGCGGCGGCCGGCGTGGAGGGACCCCGGACGGGCGCAGCTGAGGGAGCGCGGCGGAAAGTGGGCAGGGGTAGTCGGCTGCGGCGGCGGCAGCGGCAGCGGCAGCCCCAGGGCTGCCCGCGGCCCGAGGTCCAGCGCAGGTATGCTCCGCGGCGGCCCTGCCCCGCCTGGTGTCCTCACCTGCTGCGCACTCTCGGGGCGTCAGAGCAGTGCCGCTGGCTCGCCGCTTGAGTTTATGACTCCGAGCATCCGCTTTGCCGCTGGGGAGCGGGGACGATAAAGCCACGTGCGGTGTAGGGTTACTGGGAGGAGGTGTCAGTGCTTGGGTAGTTCCCTAGGTTACCCTCCCCAGGGCCTGAGAATGAGGTTGGGATACCCGGGGCCAGCGGAAGGCCCACGACCCGGTGCGGGACGCGGTGCCCTCCGGCTTTCACAGACCTCCTCCCTGTGGACGCCACGGTCAGCAGCAACGTCATTTTTTTGTTATTGTTGTTAATTTTTTTGTTTGTTTTTCTTTAAAAGTAACGAATACTTAGCATTTTACAGAATGGACAGAACACAAAGGTAAAAGGAAAATCAAAGGGTTGCGTTCCTAGTGCTACTTCCTGGAAATAAATCCTGGAAGCGATATGCAGAAGATTTTCTACAAGTATACGTGATGTATGTGTGAATACAATTTTGTTCGTAAGGAGTACCCCATCATCGTAGAGCATCTGGCATGCGGCAGGGTGATAAAGGAAGTAATAGTATTGGGTTGGCCAAAACGTTCTTTCGGGTTTTAAGTAAAAGTAAAAGACACATTTTTCATTTTCACCAAGAACTTTATTGAACAACGTATTCAGTGTTTCGTTCTACTACTTTCTGCCATTTTTCAGGTAGCTTCATAATTCCATCTTCCCAAAACTTTTAATCTTTTGAGCAAAGAACTGTTCCAGATGCCTTTTAGTCTTACAGGGAATTGAAATTTTTTTCCCAGTATGAGAATTTTGTAAAGACTGAAATAAATAGAGATCTGAAGATGCGATGTCTGGTGAATATGGTGGATGAATCAGAACTTCCTAGCCAAGCTGTAACAGTTTTTGCCTGGTCATCAAAGAAACACATGGTCATGTGGTATCCTGATAGAAGATTATGCGTTTTCTGTTGACTGATTCTAGACGCTTTTCATAGAGTGCTGCTTTTAGTTGGTCTAATTGGGAGCAGAGCTTGTAGGAATTAATCGTTTGGTTTTCCAGAAGGAGCTCAAATAGAGGACTCCCTTCCAATCCCACCATATACACAACATCACCTTCTTTGGATGAATATCGGCCTTTGGTGTGGTTGGTGGTGGTTCATTTCGCTTGCCCCATGATCTCTTCCATTCCACCTTATTGTACAGTGTCCAGTTTTCATCGCCTGTCACAATTTGTTTTATTTTATTTTTTTTATTTTGTAAAAATGTTTATTTATTTTTGGCTGCATCAGGTCTTAGTTGCGGCGTGTGGGATCTTTCACTGTGGCACGTGGGCTCTGTAGTTGCATCATGTGGGCTCTTCAGTTGTGGTGCACGGGCTTCGTTGCCCTGTGCGGCATGTGGGATCTTAGTTCCCCGATCAGGGATGGAACCTGCATCTCCTGCATTGGAAGGCAGATTCTCAACCACTGGACCACCAGGGAAGTCCCCACAATTTGTTTTAAAAATGGAACGTTTTAGTTATGTTTAAGTAGAGAATCACGTGTGGAAATACAGTCAAGAAGGTTTTATTCGCTTAACTTACGTGGAACATCAAAGCAATTAACATAACCAAGCTGGTGCAGATGATTTTCAGTGCTTGATTTGGATATTTTGAGTATGTCAGCTATCTCCCACGTGGTATAATGTTGATGATTCTCAGTTAATGTCTCGATTTGATCACCATCAACTTCAACTGGTCTACCTGACCTTGGAGCATCATCCAGTGAGAAATCTCCAGCACGGAACTTCTCAAACCATTTTTGACACGTTCGATCAGTCACAGCACCTTTTCCATACACTGCAACGTTTCAGTTGTGTTTTTACCTTTCTTGAAATAATAAAGCATGCTGAAAATGTTGCTTTTTTGTCTTCCATCTTCATTGTTAAAATGGCTACACAAAAATTCACCTATTTTGATAAGTTTTGTGTTTTTTTTTTTTTTGCGGTACGCGGGCCTCTCACCGCTGTGGCCTCTTCCATTGCGGAGCACAGGCTCTGGACGCGCAGGCTCAGCGGCCATGGCTCACGGGCCCAGCCGCTCCGTGGCATGTGGGATCCTCCCGCACCAGGGCACGAACCCGTGTCCCCTGCATCGGCAGGCGGGCTCTCAACCACTGCACCACCAGGGAAGCCTGATAAAGTTTTTTTTAAATGCACGCTGATATGGCAGCTGTCACAATACAGTCTAACAAAATTGTTTCAAATGAAGTTAAAGACAACTAAGTGCTACTAGAGCCATCTTATGGAAAAAAACCAAACGAACATTTTGGCCAACCCAATAGCTTTATGGTCTCTTGGCATCCGAGTTCTCCCTCCATGGGCTTCTGGAGTGGGGGTCTGATTCTGATTGCCGCTCAGCGTTCTGGAAGGTGTCAGACAGGTGAGCCTCCAATAAAAGGAGAGAGAACATGGGTCCCACCCTGGAAGAGGCATTTGGAGTAGAAGAAACACACCCAAAGAAGGCTTGAGGGGTGTATTGAAAGGAGTGCTGAACTGACAGCTTATTTGAATTCTTATCCAGGCTCTGTGGCCTGGACTGTTCAGCTTGGGGGTTCCCACCTGAAAATTGAGAGAGCTGATTGTTCTCAGGCCCTGCCAGTGTGGACAGGTGGTTCCAGGAAGCAGGGCTTTGCCCTGAACTTTGTTACACTTACTCTGGCCAGGGGCCGACAGATTCTTTGTCCCCCAGATTGGTGGCTTGTTTGTTGTTTGGCCATCTCGGCTGTATCTCATGCTTGGAAGCATTTGTTAGTAGAGGTGGATGTGCTAATGGCATCTGTGAACCGCTGTGGTACCTTTAGGCCATCTGAACATGAAGTGGTTTTCTTTGTTTTCTCCTTCTCTTGCTTTTCTACACCTTGGTCTTTGTTCTTTCCCCCCAGAGTAGAACAGGAGACAATTGTCACTCCAGAACTAAGGGTTCTACTAGGAAGCTGATGACTTGGGCTTGATGGGTTAGGATTCCTAGAATGAAGGGCTCTTCATCCTGCTGTTGTCCCATCTTGGGGAAAGTGTCACCCAACAAATTAACCAGTCTATCCCATTCCCCCTAGTCTCTCCCACATTCAAGGGATGCATAGGTAGATTCCTAGTCAGTTAGCACTGGTCACATCCTGGTTTCTGTGTTGGGGCTTTCTTTCCATTTGTTTCAAAATTTGTTTTTAAAATTTATATACAGTAAATTTACTCATTTTGGTGTTCAGGTTTATGAGTTTTGATAAATGTATAGAGTCATATGTCCATCAATCAAGATGCAGAACAGGGGCTTCCCTGGTGGCGCAGTGGTTGAGAGTCCGCCTGCCGATGCAGGGGACGCGGGTTCGTGCCCCGGTCCGGGAAGATCCCACGTGCCGCGGAGTGGCTGGGCCCATGGGCCATGGCCGCTGGGCCTGCGCGTCCAGAGCCTGTGCTCCACAACGGGAGAGGCCACGACAGTGAGAGGCCCGCGTACTGCAAAAAAAAAAAAAAACCCAAAAAACAGAACAAGTCTGTCGTCCCCAAATTCCCTCTTGCAGTCCCTTTGTGGGACCCGCACTCCTAACCCTTATTACCACTGATCTATCCTCCTTTAGTTTTATCCTTTTTTTATTAAAAAAATTTTTTTTAACTCATGCACTTGTATTGTTTATTTATTTACTTATTTTGACCACGCCTCATGGCATGTGGGATATTAGTTCCCCTACCAGGGATCGAACCCGCGCCCCCTGCATTGGAAGCATGGAGTCCTAACCACTGGACCGCCAGGGAAGTCCCCCCTTTAGTTTTATCTTTTCTAGAAAGTCCTGTAAATGGAATCATACAGTAGGCAGCGTTTTGAGTCTGGCTCACACTTGGCATAATGCGTTTGAGATTCGTTCATGTGTTGTGTGTATCACCTGTTTATTTCTTCTGCTTATGGCTGAGTAGTGTTCCACTGTGTGGACGTGCCACTGTTTGTCCATTCTGCCATGTGTTTTTAACCGCAGTCCTTGGAAATATCATGTCCCCATTAAACAGTAAGGAACTAGGGGTTGGAGATGCTAAGTAGCAGAGCTAAATTTTTATCTAATTCCAAGTCCAGGGCTCTTTATTTTTTTTAATTTTATGTATTTATTTTTGGCTGCGTTGGGTCTTCCCCGCTGCATGCGGGCCCCTCCTAGCTGCGGTGAGCGGGGCCCACTCCCTGCCGCAGTGTACGGGTCTCCCACCGTGGCGGAGCCCCCCCTTCCTGCTGCGGAGCACGGGCTCCAGGCACATGGGCCTCAGCAGCTGTGGCACACAGGCCCAGCAGTTGTGCCCCACGGGCTCCAGAGCGCAGGTTCACGGGCTCAGTTGCTCCGCGGCATGCGGGATTCTCCCAGACCAGGGATCGAGCCTGTGTCCCCCACATTGGCAGGTGGACTCTCAACCACTGCGCCACCCGGGAAGCCCCAGAGTTCTTTTTCACCACATCTGAGAGTTGATTTGGTCCACTGACCTAATTACCATTTCTCTGCTTCCCATCCAAGAGGTTGTCAGGCTCCTTGAGTTCCCTTTCTAGAATGTGGGGCCTGGGGGTCATAAAGGAAAATATATGCCACAGTTTATGACACAATATGTGCTCCTCTTTTTCTGTCTAGTGACAGGCTCACCAGTACTAGCATGATGGAGCTGCCCGAACCATACAATTTTTTTTTCTTTTTGGCTGCACTGCAGGGCTTGTGGGATCTTAGATCTCTGACCAGGGATCGAACCCAGGCCCCCTGCATTGGGAGCGTGGAAACTTAACCACTGGACCACCAGGGAATTCCCGCATACGATATTTATTGAAAGGAAGTTGTCTGGTCAGTCCCCGGAGTTGGGTACATTGGGCAGCAGTCTGTCAGGGCAGTGACTTAGCCGCCTGCTGTGGGCAGGAGTGTGACCATGCCGTTTCACTCTGTGTCGCTACCAGGAAGGAAGGACCTAACGACCTCAGTGCCTCCCTCCATAGCGATGTCGGAGCTCAGCGATGAAGCCAGTGAGCCGGAGCTGCTGAACCGCAGCTTGTCCATGTGGCATGGGCTGGGTGCGCAGGTCAGCCGGGAGGAGCTAGCCGTCCCCTTGGATCTTCACACAGCTGCTTCCATTGGCCAGTATGAAGTGGTGAAGGAATGTGTGCAGCGGTAAGAGATCTTGGAAAATGTTCCTTCCTCTTGGATTTTTGAGCTCCATGGTTCAGCTCTCAGGTGGAGCCATCAGGGAGCTAGCGGGGGCCTTGCCCACAGCTGTAGACATTTAATCCTTGGGTGGATCAACTGCTGCTTCTCTTGGGCTGTTGTCAGGGATGATTTATGCTGGACGCCAATAAGGAAGGCAGTTTTGATTCTGAGGAAGAAAAAGGCAGCTTAAACTTTTTTCATAGGCTTAGAAATTGTTCATTTCAGGCTTACTTTAACCAGAGTAATTTTATGGTTTTCACTAATTGCAGAAATGCTCAAACAAAACAAAAATAAAGATTGAAAGCAATGCCCTATGGCCTTCTTTCCCCAGAAGCTTCATTTTAATCCCTCCTGCCGCCCTCTCCCCTTTAGCTTCTGCCATAGAGGAGGAGGTGGGGTTATCCCCACCTGGAGGATTGCACCTTACTCACTGCCCACATGCCGTTTTCACTGATCTTATGTGCATATTAGGTCCCCCTAAACAGCACTGCTTATTAGCGCCTTCTTGTTTGAAGTACGGTTTGATACTCAGTGTAATTTTTAGAAAGGGATCCATCTTCTCATCTCTTCCCACTTTGTCCGCCATACTTTGTGCTCACTGTTATCATCTCATTGATAACTTAGAGAAACAACCTATGTCCATACCTACCTGGGCCTTTTCCAGTTCCAGCTTGGGGAGTTACAGCAGAGCCTCGTGGAAGCCCCGTTTCTGGCTCCCAGGTCGTAGCCATCACTTATGAGCATCTGGCCAGTTGGTACTTCTGTACCGGGCAGGTGTGCAGGCAGCACATCCCCCGACAGGGTCACCACGACCCCACCTGTAGTTCTGCTCCTTTAACATTCACAGCCTTTAAGCCTTCGGGTGTGCTGTTAAAATGAACAGTCCAGAACAGCTCTAGAAAGTGTTTGTGTTCTGATTGGGGTTGTGACACCTGCTGAGATGGAGGCTGGTGCACAGTAAACACACTGGGGACCCGAGGGGGATTTGGAGGGGTCAGAAGGGAGGATTCGGCTGAAGGAGGTTGCCAGAGCCCCAGGGCCGCTCTGCTAAGGGGTGGGGGGGGGGGCGCCTCCCTGTCCATTTGGGACGGCGTGTGGTGAGAATGGGCTGGTCTCCAGGTGGCTCTCCCGGCTAGTGGCTACCCCTGCATTCCTGGGATCAGGACCTGGGAAATGGCTGCCTGGGTCCAAAGCCAGGGTCAGTAAAACGTGCTGGTGAATGGAAACTAATTGTCTGGTGTAGCTTAGTGTGTGTATCTAGGAGAGGCACGAACTGCGTGGGTCGACTGTCACTTGGTACCTCCACTGGAGGCAAGGATTGTGGAGGAGGAAAGACTGGGGCGTGAAACAGGCAGGATGCTCCTGGAAGTGGGTCTTACTTCCATCCCCCGACCCCAAACTCTGGGTTGGGAAGCCTGCATTGTTTTTCCTGTGGGAAACGCTTTTCCAGAATTGTAATGAAAATCAGTGAGAAAGACAGGATTCTTTGGTCACAGATTTTTCCAGGAATGTTTCTGTAGGGTGGGACGACAAAGGAGAAATTGTCCACTGTCTGAGTCCCCTCCTCTTTCCTCTCCCCTCAGTTCTGGACTAGCAGACTGGTCTGTTGGCGGGAGGTAGTCAAGACTCCAGGTCAGCGTTTCTCGGCCTCGGCACTACTGACAACCTGGGCCAGCTCATTTTTTGTTGTGAGGGGCGTCCTGTGCACTGTAAGATGTTGAGCAGCATCCCTGGCCACTGGATGCCAGTAGCTTTTCCCTCTCCAGTTGTGACAACCAAAAATGTCTCCAGACTTTGGCAACTGTCCCCTGGGGGCAAAATCTCCCGTGGTTGAGAACCATCTATGTAGCTGGTGGTAGCAAAAAAGAGAATTGCTGGCCTTAGGGTAGGAGGAGGGTGCAGATGAGAATGAAAAATCAGAGGAGGGAGGCAAACTTGAGGGAGTTTGCAAAGGCAGTTGTCCGGCAAGTGTAGTTACTCCCCCCCCTCCCCGCCAGTGATGTCCAGGGTGGCATATGACTCTGCTTCCTGTCAGCACTTCCTGCTCTTTCTCTTGGCCTGGCCTGGCCACCGGCTTTGGTAAACCCCACCTATGAGATGGCTGGCGTGTCTAGCATGTCTTGCGTTTGTTTAGGAGAGAGTTAGATTTGAATAAGAAGAATGGTGGTGGCTGGACCCCGCTGATGTATGCCTCCTACATTGGACACGATACCATCGTGCACCTGCTGCTCGAGGCGGGGGTGAGTGTGAATGTGCCGACCCCGGAAGGGCAGACTCCGCTGATGCTGGCTTCCAGCTGTGGCAACGAGAGCATCGCCTATTTCCTCCTCCAGGTGAGCTACGAGGGCCTCAGGCCAGAAACCTGAGGGGCCCCCGGCCGCTCTGCAGAGACGTGAACCACTGCAGGCCCCTGTAGCGTGCGTGTGCTCGGGTAATCACTTCGATTCTTTCAGCGTGATGGCTTGGAGGGCGCCCACCCTGCGCAGAGGAGACGCGGCCTTAATGAGCATTCTGTGTTTTCTTGAAGCAAGGTGCTGAGCTAGAAATGAAGGACATTCAAGGCTGGACTGCCCTCTTCCATTGCACCAGTGCTGGGCACCAGCAGATGGTCAAGTTCCTTTTGGACAGTGGAGCGAACGCCAATGTGAGGTGATTACGAGGTCTTAAGTGGCCGCAGGAGGGAGGTGGTCATGTCTGACTCTGAGTAGGGCAACTGGCGAGGCAGCTAGAGGCTGGGGTGCAGGGAGCCCCTGCCTTGGTTTGACAGGCTCAAGACAAAGGGACGGAGGGGACAGTCCTGCCGAGGCGTGGAGGCATGGGGATCGTCCTAGCTTTCTCATGCATCTGTCAGGTGGCATTGTGTGCAACATTTTAAGTTCTCTGTGCCTTACTTCCTTTATCTGAAAACAGGATGGCAATGCCCATGTCATAGAACTGTTAGAAGAATTACATGTTCTGTCATATAACAGGTGCCTAACATAGTGTGTGGCACTGAATTGACATGCATTAAATGCTAAATCCCTTTAGCTTTCTTGCCTTCTGTATGTATCAGGTGAGGTAATACTTTGAAAACAGTCATGAGTTTTAAATATAAGCTGGAAGTAGGGTTGTTGTCTAAAGCATGTCACCATGATAATCCTCTTTCAACCCAGCATTCACCTGACACTGCACACCCTGGCTGGTGTCAGCCGTTGTAACACACTATAGGTTTACAGGCCATTAAGAAAGAAAAAAAATGCTCCTAATTAAAATGCATTTCATTTACTGACATTCTGACTTCAGCGATGCTAAAACGTGAAAAGTGTGTGTCTTCGAACGGATGAAAACCAGTGGTTAGCTTGCTTCCTGTCTTCTAGCCCAGGTGAAACCAGTGAGGGCTTGGTGGGGGTGGCACTCTGAAGAGGGCACTGAGTTAGCCGTAAGCAAGCATTAGGTGTAGTGAGGGCAGGAGATGGTTAGTCCTGGAGCTCCTGGAAGGGTTCCTAGAGGATGTTGATCTCAAAATGTAGGATATCTGGATAGGTGGAGAGGAGGTGCTAGCTGTCTGTGAGCAGTGAAGGGTGACAGCTACTTTTTGCTGTGATTAAGTAGAGATTCAGGCCATAGCAGGGGGGGAAACAGCTAAGAAGGAGTGAAGATGGGAAACAGATTGTCTTAGGAACAAAAGACTAGACCTGGGGTAGAAACCACGGGACTGATGTGTTGATACTCACTTTCTCATCTCTCCCCGTTCAGGGAGCCCTCTAGGCTTAGGGATGGGTGACTTTGCGTCACTGAGGTTTTGTCTGCAGCAGGCAAGCTTCTGCCCCCCAGAGCTTCCTCTGCTCATCATCTGACTGCAGTCTCGATCTTGCAGGGAGCCCGTATATGGATTCACTCCTTTGATGGAAGCGGCTGCTGCTGGCCATGAAATAATCGTGCAGTATTTTCTGAATCATGTAAGTGACCCTGTTTATTAGCTTATAATTTAGTCACAGCAAGTGAGGCATCATATCACTGAGGAATAAACTGTAACAGAACTTTCTCCTACACAGAAATAACTGCTCTTCATCTGTTTATTCAACACATTTTCATTGAGTATCTGTTGATGCCAAGTGCTGAGTGGTGCTTAGGCATTAGGGGTACAGTGGTAAGCAACTATAGACACCTATTCCTGTAATAATTTTAAAAATAGTATTATTTGAAAAGTATGGAAAAAATTTTAAAACAGTAAATAGCACTCATCATCCCATCACTTAAAAAATTTATATAGAATAAGGAGGCAAAGATCTTCCTACCTTTTCCACCCGCCCCCTGTTCCCCCACAAGATGCCCAGTTGGTTGTTAAAGAGACCCAGGATTTTCCTCTGCTGAGAAAGTATGTCTGTAGACACCTGCGAACACATGGCTTTTTGTTTTGAACAAAGTGGGATTCTACTGTGTATTTGATCTGCAGCTTCTAAAAAATAATATGCCATAGACATCTTACCTTTGTATGGTATTCCATGCAGTATCCATGCCATAGTTAGTTCAGTCAGTTCCTTATTAGTAGAAATTTAGGTTTCTAACATTTTGCAATTGTAAGCAGTGCTCCAGGGAATATCTTGGCACACACAGCTTTAGCACACATGCAGTTATTTCTGTATGCTGTATTTCTACAAGAGGGATTGCTGGTGCTCACATTTTGAACTTAATAGGTCCTAATAAAAAGGCAATTAGGGCTTCCCTGATGGTGCAGTGGTTAATAAGAATCTGCCTGCCAACGCAGGGGACACTGGTTTGAGCCCTGGTCTGGGAAGGTCCCACATGCCATGGAGCAACTAAACCCGTGCACCACAACTACTGAGCCTGTGCTCTAGAGCCTGCGAGCCACAATTACTGAGTGCACGTGCCACAACTACTGAAACCCACGTGCCTAGAGCCCGTGCTCCGCAACAAGAGAAGCCACCGCGGTGAGAAGCATGTGCACCGCAACGAAGAGTAGCCCCCACTCTTTGCAACTAGAGAAAGCCGATACGTGGCAATGAAGACCCAAAGCAGCCAAAAATAAATAAATTAATTAATTTAAGAAAAAAAACAGGGCAGTTAAATTAAAAGACAATAAAAAGATGGACAAAGGACCTGAAAAGATACATCTCTAAAGAAGATACACAAATGGCCAATAAGCACATGGAAAAATGCTTGACACCATTAGTCATCAGGGAAAATGGCAAATCAAAACAACCAGGAAAATAATAATATAATAAAAAAAAGACAATAACAAGAGATGGTAATGACGTGGAGAAATTGGAACCCTCATACACTGCTGTAAATGAAAAATGATGCAGCCTCTTTGGAAAACATTCTGGTAGTTCCTCAAACAGTTAAGCATAGAGTTACCATATGACCCAGCACTTGGATATATACCACTCCTAGGTATATACCCAAGAGAACTGAAAACAGGTCCAGGCAAAATCCTGTACATAAATGTCCATAACAGTATCGTTTGTAATAGTCAAATGGTGAAAAGAACCCAAATGTCCATAAGTGGATAAATAAAATTGTTACATGCATACAATGGAATATTAATTGGCCATAAGAAGGAGTGAAGTACTTCCCCGTGCTACAACCTGAATAGACTTTGAAAATATGCTAGGTGAGAGAAGCCAGATACAAAGGCTGAATATTGTATTATTCCTTTTGTATGAAATGTTCAGAATAAGCGTATCTGTGGAGACCAATAGATTAGTGGTTGCCTAGGGCTGGGAGGAGGTACAGGATTTCTTTTCAGGGTGATGAAAATGTTCTGAAATTGTGGTGGTGGTTGTCCACTATTGAAGTGTAAACTGTAAGTGGATGAATTGCATGGTAGAAGAATTATATCTTAATAAAGTTGTTTAAAAAGTTCAACGGGGGAAATATTTAGTAAGTTCTAACAAATTCCCACTAAACAGATGTCTCTCTTGTCCTTCCCACCAGTAATACATGACGATGCCCATTTTCTCACATCCTCACCAGCCCTAGATGTTACCATCGTAAAGTTTTGCCAGTTTGGTAGGAGAAAAGTGGCATCTTGTTTTGGTTTGTACTTATTAGTGAGAGTGAACATTTTAAAACATATTTATTGACCATTTGTATTTCTTTTATGAATTGTCATATTTATTTATTTATTTATGGCTGTGTTGGGTCTTAGTTGTGGCACGTGGGCTTCTCTCTAGTTGTGGCGCATGGGCTCCAGAGTTCATGGGCTCAGTAGCTGTGGTGTGAGGGCTCTCTAGTTGTGGCACACAGGCTCAGTAGTTGTGGCTCACAGGCTAGTAGTTGCGGCACGTGGGCTTAGTTGCCCCGTGGCATGTGGGATCTTAGTTCCCTGACCAGGGAGTGAACCTGCGTCCCCTGCATTGGCAGGTGGATTCTTAACCACTGTGCCATCAGGGAAATCCTGTGGTTTTTTTTTTTAAACTTGTCTATCCTGGATTGTTCTATATCAGTAGATATAAAGCTCTTTTCTCTCTTGTATGGCAGCATAGCACTCCCTTGTAGGGATGAATCAGTTTCTCTAACAGTGGTCTGCAGATAGAATCAAGTTGTATTTGCCATCATGCACAGTGCTGTGCGGGATATCTGCACACATACTTCTCCACACACTTGTGCGACCACATCTCTACAGTTCGATACTAAAGGTAGAAGTTTTGGATGTAGCCTAAGTACAGCCATAATGTGGATGTTGCCAAATAGCTATCCAAAGAGCAAGTTGTACCAACTTGAACGGTGTCTACAGCAATAAGCATTATGACTCTTAAATTATGAAGTTGGGGTTTCCCTGGTGGCACAGTGGTTGAGAATCTGCCTGCCAATGCAGTGGACAAGGGTTCAATCCCTGGTCCGGGAAGATCCCACATGCCACGGAGCAACTAAGCCTGTGCGCCACAACTACTGAGCCTGTGCTCTAGAGCCCATGAGCTACAGCTACTGAGCCCACGTGCTGCAACTACTGAAGCCCACGTGCCTAGAACCCCTGCTCCACAACGAGAGAAGCCACTGCAATGAGAAGCCCGCGCACTGCAATGAAGAGTAGCCCCTGATCGCCGCAACTAGAGAAAGCCCACGTGCAGCAACGAAGACCAACACAACCAAAAATAAATAAATAAAAATAATAAATTTATAAAAAAAATTATGAAGTAGTTTAAACATTCAAAGTAGTACAGAGATAATATTAATACAACTAATCCACGTGAATCCAGAGGTAACCACTATCCAGATGTTGGTCTGTACCTTTCCTGTCCCTGACTTTATACTCTCATCACATGCTGTGTGTGGAGCCTTCTTGTTGTCAGTTCTGTTTTCTTCCTCACTAAGGAATAGTGTTACTACTCTTTTTTCCCTTTAGTATAATCTGAAGTTGAAGTCTTCCAGGCTTAAAAATAGATATTAGTGGGGCTTCCCTGGTGGCGCAGTGGTAGAGAGTCCGCCTGCTGATGCAGGGGACACGGGTTCGTGCCCCAGTCCGGGAAGATCTCACATGCCACGGAGCGGCTGGGCCTGTGAGCCATGGTCGCTAAGCCTGCGCATCTGGAGCCTGTGCTCCGCAACGGGAGAGGCCACAACAGTGAGAGGCCCGCGTACTGCAAAAAAAAAAAAAAAGATATTAGTTAAAATCCTTCAGGGACTTCCCTGGCAGTCTAGTGGTTAAGACTCCATGCTTCCAATGCAGGGGGTGCGGGTTCGATCCCTGGTCGAGGAACTAAGAAGATCCTACAAGCCCCATGGCGTAGCCAGAAAAAAGAAAAAATCCTTCAGTAAAGATGGTATTGTTTTTCTGGTTGAAACCTTTGGGTCCTTCTATCAAACTGAAACTAGAAATTATCTTTTTTTCAGCTTTATTGAGATATAATTGATATACATCACTGTTTAAGGTGTACAGCATAATTATTTGATCTCTGTATATCATGAAATGCTTACCACAATAAGTTTAGTTTATATCCATGATCTCATATAGATACAAATATCTATATACATATGTCTCCTTGTGATGATAACTCTTTGGATTTACTCTCTTAACAACTTTCCTATATAACACATAGCAGTGTTAACCGTGGTCATAATGTTGTACATTACATCCCTAGTTTCTACTTACAACTGGAAGTTTGTGCCTTTTTAAAATTTTTCATTGAGATGTAGTTGGTGTACAATATTATATGTTACAGGTATACAACATAGTGATTCACAATTTTTTAAGGTTATACTGCATTTAGGGACTTCCCTGGCAGTCCAGTAGTTAGGACTCCGTCCTTCCACTGCCGGGGACCCCGCTTCAATCCCTGGTCAGAGAACTAATATCCCACAAGCTGCGATGTGTAGCCAAAAAAAACTAAAAAGTTATATCCATTTATAGTTATAAAATATTGGTTATATTCCCTGTTTGTACAATATATCCTTGTAGCTTATTTATTTTTACGTAATAGTTTGTACCTCTTAATCCCCTACCCCTATTTTGCCCCTCCCCCCAGGATGTTGTGCCTTTTGGCCACCTTCATCCAATTTTCCCTCCTGCCACTCCCCTGAAATGATCTTTTAAGGCTGAAGGTTTCATTGCTGATTTCTAACCAGAGCTCTGGAAAGTTGGGGATTATAGAAAGTAAAGCTCAATTAGGCTCTCGTACAAATGTGGTTTTTTTCCTACCAGAGGGAAGTGTGATAATCACCTTCTGTACTGGGCTCAATCAAGACTGTCAGTTGATCATAGTTTTCTAAAATAGGGTAAAAAAAGTACATATGTAAATATTTACTATACAAGCGATATATACTTGCTATAAAAGAATTAGAAAGTATATTTAAGCAAACCGAAAGCAAAAATCACTCATAATACCATCACCCAGAGATAGCACACATTAACATATTGTTGAGTGTCTTAGTTTTTTTTTTTTTTTTTTTTTCCCCGCACCGTGCAGCTTATGGGATCTTAGTTCCTCAACCAGGGATCGAACCCAGGTCCACGGCACTGAAAGCCCGAGTCTTAATCACTGGACTGCGAGGGAATTCTCAAGTATCCTAGTTTTTTATGGATAAATATTTTAAGTCAAAGTGGAATTCCATTATACAGAATGTTTTGTAATATGCTTTTTTTTCTTAACGATGTCTTGTGCACACCTGCCTGGGTTTGTACGTACACTTGGCCCCGTCACGTAAGTGGGTGGGTGGTGTTCCATTTTATGTGTTCTCACTTATTTCACTAATCCCCTAGTGAACTAGTTCTTTTCAGTTCTCACTATGCTAAATGCTTCAGGGAAGATCCTAAATGTGAGTGTATATTCTTCATTATTTCCTGAGGTTAAATTCCCAGAAGTGGAATTTCTGGGTCATAGGGCATGCACACTTTTCAGGTTTCAACTATCTCTTGCTGATTTGCCCTCCAGAGCACGGGCTTATAGTCCCACCATCAACTACGAGGCTGCATGGTTGAAGCTTTCAAAATGGAAAGCTTATTGGGCTTTTCCAGTTTTCAAAAGTAAACGTGCTGGGCTTCTCTGGTGGCGCAGTGGTTGAGAGTCCGCCTGCCGATGCAGGGGACACGGGTTCGTGCCCCGGTCTGGGAAGATCCCACATGCCACGGAGCGGCTAGGCCCGTGAGCCATGGCCGCTGAGCCTGCATGTCCGGAGCCTGTGCTCCACAACGGGAGAGGCCCCAACAGTGAGAGGCCCGCCTACCGCAAAAAAAAAAAAAAAAGTAAACGTGCTCATAGTAGTAAATTTAGAAAATAGAGAAGATTAGGAAGATGTGAAAAATCCCCATTATCTTACTGCTTAAAAATAATACTAACAGTTTGGGCATATCTCCTTCCAGTATTACTTTCTGTATACTTTTTTGTTTTGTCGCAGTTGTAATGTATATATACAGTTTTGTATCGTGGTCCTTTTTAAATCTTGGTTATAATTTTGTTATTTGTAAATACCAGCACTTATGGCAGTAACATAGCTGACTCTCCACCCCCCTGAGCACTTAAGTTGTCTCTGGGTTTTTGTTATTGCAGATATGTGGTGTGGAAGTGGAACTGTTGTGTTGAAGACGATAAGTACTTTTTAGGGCTTTGGGTAAAAGTTACCGAATTCTGTTTCAGAAGGGTGGTGCTCCCAATCTGATTATGGTTTTTAAAGGCTGGCCCTCCAGTGAATCTGTTGTCTCCAGTTTTCTCTGTGTGAAGAGAGGTGCAGTGAGTGGGACACATGCTCCCCATTCAGTGTGTGTCTGCAGCGTCAGAGCCAGCCAGGTGCCTCTGACTCTTGTCACTAAGAAGCGCCTTCCCGGGGCTGCCCTGGTGGCGCAGTGGTTAAGAATCTGCCTACCAATGCAGGGGAGATGGGTTCGAGCCCGGGTCTGGGAAGATCCCACATGCTGCGGAGCAACTAACCCCGTGCACCACAACTACTGAGCCGGCGCTCTAGAGCCCATGAGCCACAACTACTGAGCCCATGTGCCACAACTACTGAAGCCTGTGCACCTAGGGCCCATGCTTCACAGCAAGAGAAGCCACCTTAATGAGAGGCCTGCGCACCGCAACAAAGAGTAGCCCCCACTCGCTGCAACTAAAAAGAAAGCCTGTGCAGCAACGATGACCCAACGCAGCCATAGATAGATAGATGATAGATAGATAGATAGATTGCCTTCCCCACTTTCTCGCAGGAAGGCTTGTCAGGAAGATGCCGGCGCCCTCCCTCTCCTCCAGGGTCTGCAGCCCTGAAGCGAGGCTGCTTTGTGGGCGAGGTTCCTAACTCTTCTTTCACAAACTTTCACAGGGAGTCAAAGTGGACACAAGAGACCACAGTGGAGCCACAGCCCGGATGCTGGCCAAGCAGTATGGACACATGAAGATTGTGGGGCTGATAGACGCTCACTCACCTTCTCTGCCTAAGAGCCTCTACCGGAGCCCAGGTACCTGCGTCTGCGGCCAGGCCTCTGCTGGCGTTCCGTCCTCCCCTTTGGCTCCTGGAGCCTGGCCAGGACCCGGGCTGAGGGGAGAGGGTGTAGAATGTAAGGTGGGACTGCCAGGCTGAGGATGGGCAGGACAGGGAGGAGGAGGGCAGCTCACAGAGGGGATCGCTCTGGTTTTTGTTTCTTGACTTTGCTTGTGCTGTTTGTTGCCATGCAGATGTTTTAATTCTTTTTTTTTTTTTTTTTTTTTTGCGGTATGCGGGCCTCTCACTGTTGTGGCCTCTCCTGTTGCGGAGCACAGGCTCCAGATGCGCAGGCTTAGCGACCATGGCTCACAGGCCCAGCCGCTCCGCGGCATGTGAGATCTTCCCGGACTGGGGCACGAACCCGTGTCCCCTGCATCGGCAGGCAGACTCTCAACCACTGCACCACCAGGGAAGCCCCAGATGTTTAAATTTTATGTAGTCAAATTCATCCGTTTATTGCCTCTGGGTTCTAAGTCACAGAAAATCTTGCCCTATGCCCTGGTTGTACAACAAATTGCCCATGTTTTCCTCTAGTATGTGTATGGTTTCATTTCTCCATGTAGATCTCTGATCCATTCACAATGTATTTTCACGGATGGTTTTTTCCAAACAGCTGCCCCGTTGTCCTAGCATCATGTGTTTAGAAGTCTATTTTTGACCTAGTGATCTTTACCGTATATTCTGAATTTCTGTTTGCATTCAGGTCTGTTTCTGGACTGCCTGTTCTGTTCCACTGGACTCTGCACACACAGACCCACACTGTGTAAATGACAGAGGCTTTCTCTGACATGTTTTGCCACCTGGTGGGGCCGGCCCTCCTCGTGGCTTTCCTTCTCCAGTGTTTCCTGGCACTTGCTTTTCTGTGTGAACTTGAGCATCAACTTGTCTAGCTCCTTAAAAACAGCGTGCTGATATTTTTGTGACTGTGGCAAATGTACAAATGAACTGCTGTGTTGTTGAGTCGCCCTAGGACCAAGGGACGTCCTTTTGTTCAAGTGTACTTCCGTGTCTTGCAAGAGGGTTTTAAATTTTTCCTCAAATACATTTTGCATATACCTGAAGTTTATTCCTGAGGGTCTGATTTTTGTCATTGCTGTTGTAAACGCATTATCCCTCTTAATGCTGCCATCATAGCCTTGGACGGTTTGTTGTCTGTGCAGAGGAAGGCGACTGCTGTCTGTCCACAGTTCTACCGCCTCCTGCCTTATTGAATTCTTTCATTGTCTGAATTCGTTTTATTTATCTGTTCTCTAGGGTTTTCCAGGTACACTGCCATAAAACCTGCAAATAGAGACAGATTTACTACTTTTTTCCTGATTTTTGTACCTCAAATTTCTTTGCTTTCATCGCACTCACTAATCCCTCTAGTTCCCCGTTGAATGAGGTGAGGTAATGGGCATTCACTTTGGCCCTGATCTTAGCAGAAATGCCACGTTAAGTATGATGCTGGCTTGGGACTTCCCTGGCAGTCCAGTGGTTAAGACTCCACACTTCTACTGCAGGGGGCGCGGGTTCGATTCCTGTTTGGGGAACTAAGAATCCGCGTGCTATGTGGTGCGGCCAAAAAATAAAAAATATAAATGAAAATAAAGAATAAAAAATAAATGTTTTGTTTTAAAAAAGTAAGATGCTGGCTTGCAGAGTAAAGTCTGCATATATGTTATCATGTTAAGAAAGTATTTGTCATTTCCTGTATTCTTGAATGTTTTTATAGGATAAGTGCTGAATTTTGTCAAAGGTGTTTTCAACATCTATGGAGATGATTGTGAATTTTCTCCTTAGATCTATTAACACAGTATATTATGTTAATGAATTTCTTAATAATGAACCAACTTTACATTCTTGGCATAAATCCCACTTGGTGTACTCTTCTTAATGTGGTTCTAGATTCTGTTTGCTAATGTTGATTAATTTTGTATGGATATTCATAAGTGATGTTGGTCTGTGATTTTCTTTTGTCTATCTTTATCAGTTATAGGTCTCAATATTATACTTCATAAAAAGAACTGGAAAGTTTCCCTTCTTTTCTGTGCTCTAGAACAATTTATGTAGCATTGGTCCCATGTGGTCTTTTTTTTTTTTTTTTTTGGTGGGTGTGCGTCGGGCCTTAGTTGCGTCACGTGGGATCTGTCATTGCAACACACGGGCTTCTCTCTAGTTGGGGTGCGTGGGCTCCAGGGCGTATAGGCTCTGTAGTTTGCAGCACGCAAGTGCGGGTTCAGTAGTTGAGACGCATGGGCTTAGCTGCCCAGCAGCACATGGGATCTTAGTTCCCTGACCAGGGATCGAACCCGCATCCCCTGCATTGGAAGGCGGATTCTTTACCACTGGACCACCAGGGAAGCCCCCCATGTGGTCTTTGAAGGATTCCCTGTGAAACCATCTGCGCCTGGTCTTTACCCACGTCTCTCTTCTGTGTGGTGTGTTTCCTAGACCCACTAGTCTCTGTGCAGATTCTTGGGGTGAGTTCTGAGTCTCTGCTGGAGCGGGTGCTCGCCTCCTCCCGGGCATCAGGGATGCTGGCGTCTGTGGGGCTCCCTGCCACCTGGGCCATGTTGGGGTGTGGGGTTCGTGTGGTTCTGTCTGTTCTGACAACTGTACGGGATCAAGGGGCCACGTCAGGAGGTTCAGATTTGTGGAGCCACCTTTTCCTTGGTTCCCCTGCCTGAACAGTTATTTTTTATGACTCCTTCAGCTTCTGCTTGGATAGACCCCAGTCTCCTCCTGGCGGCATGGATCCTGGAGTGTGAGGGAGGGGTCCACTTGGCGTCACTGGCCTGGGCTTGGAAACTGGGCCAGTGACTCTTGCTTTTGGGCAGTGGCTGGGCTGGGCCTTCAGTTCATGTCTGAGTGAGCCTCTCCCTTCTTGGCCTCAGGACTGCTTTGTAACAGACACCATCACACAGGGGATACAGTGGTAATGAGGGGCTTCTCTGCATGTCTCCACCCCAATTCACCAACTCCAAAGTGAGATCTTACCCAATGGGTGCCTTCTACAAATAAACCCCTGAATTTTGTCTTCTAGGTGTAATGAAATATGGAAAACAATGAAAAGCTATAAAATGCTGACAGCTGTGGGCACACTGAGCTCTTCAGCTCAGACGGGTCGTAAAACAGCACACAGAGCTGTCATGTGGCACTTGTTTCCTAAGAGATTGTTCAGGTTGAGAATATAAAATGGCTTAAGAAGTTGTGACTGCCGCTGCCATATGTTTATGAAGAGATGGATCTTACTTGTCACCTCAGCTTAGAACAGAATGTATTTCTAACTGTTAACATACTTTCATGTTGTAAAAAATTCTGGAAACTCAGCGAGAGGGATGAGTTGGATCTGCTCACCATACTTAGCAGCTTTACTCCTCCCCCCCCCGCCCCCTGCCCCATGTCCCTGTGGCCCATCTGAGCAGTGGACCGGCCCATTGTGGCATTTCTTACAGGTGACATCCTGGGAACACTTTTCTTAATTTAGGAAAAGGAAAAAAGCAATTACGATGATTTTTATTTCAGTTCATTATAAGGATTAGTAAATTAGTCCATCACTGAACATACTGTCTAAATTTTGGTGTTTGACCCACAGAAAAATATGAAGATCTGAGCTCTTCAGATGAATCCTGCCCTGTCCCTCAGAGACAGAGGCCCTGTCGGAAGAAGGGCCTCAGCATCCACGAGGGGCCGCGAGCCTTGGCCAGGCTCACAGCTATTGGACTCGGAGGCAGGATACAGCAGCCTTGCTATGGTTAGTGCCCCATGATCCCGGTGGCTTCGACACCATAGTCTAGGATTCTGTCTGAGAGAACGAGCAACTCTCAGGCTCCTGACGTGGGGGCCGCCTGGGCTGCCGGGTGGGAGCAGCAGCTCAAGGACTCAGAATCCATCACAGGGATGGAGACACATTAGTCAGTGTCTCGCTCTTGGGTTTTGGTTCGTCCTTTGAGTTTCCTTTCTGTTGGTTAAAACTACAAATAGAACATTCTCTCCTGTAGGAGAGAGATAACTGAGCTTGGATCCATTCCTCACGTGGGTGGGTCAGCCCAGCAGGGAGAACGTGACCGTTGAGTCCCCTTCCTGTCTCTGCCTTATCCCCTGGGGAGGACTCTGCCCTCGCACTCTTTTCTCAGGGTGTGGATTTGAGAACTGCCCACCAGACACCTGGTAGGCCAGAACCCTAGACCCTGAGTTTCCAGATGGCCTGAGTTTTTGTCAGACCGTCAGCTCCTGAGTGTTGAGTGCAGTGCTTTTGGGGAGCACAGGCGCTGAGTGCTTGGGGCGAGTTGGGCTTGACGCTGTCTCTCGTGCTGGCCTGAGTGACCAGACTCCAGTGTGGGTCTCACCCATCAGTGGCCAGGCCGCTGGTCTAGCGAGCAGCCCTCAGAACCCCCTCCCAGCCAGGAGACCATGTGAGGACTTGATTCCCTTCTCAGACCCTTGGAAGGGGTCCTGGCACTGGTTGGTAACCAGGCCTGCCTCCTCCCAGCATCCAGGGGGCTGACTGGTGAGCTGGTGCTGAAGGTGAGGACACGGGCGTCCGGTCTGGCAGCTGGGAGCTCGGGGCTCTGGGATGAGTAGCAGAGTCTGTTCCTTTGGAGAAGCCCAGGCCACCTGTCCTGCCTGAGCTGTGGCCGGGGCATAGGAAGGAGTGTTCACCAGCCTCTCAGCTCCGGCCTTTCAGGAGATTCTGTTTTTCTTCTTACACTGTGTGAAACTTTAATTTTCTGTAAGTGCATATATGCTCTTTGCCAAAAGTTAAAAAACATTTTTGAATGATAAATAGCATGTGCTGATGTAAAAAATCTCTAACTTCAGAAAGGTATAAAGAAGAAAATAAGTTACCTGTGGTCCCACCAGCCAGGCTCTTTCATGCAAATACACGTACTTTCTGTGGGGCAGAGGCAGGGGCAAAGGCGGAATTAAACACTGGTTTGTGTTCCGCCTCTTCTTGTTTTCTCGCAGGCAGACATTCAGAGGTTATATAATTCACTGTCGCTGCCGTTAATGTTTAGCCAGGGCCTCTTACCTTCCTGTTCAGCTGGATCTTCTTGACTGGGGTTGACTGGCCCCTGTGCTGGAAAGTCGCAGGGGCCATGCAGGCCGGTGTGTGTATGAGAGTAGATGTTTCCAGCTGCGGGAACACCTTGTAGTATAGTTTTCCTTTGGCTCAGGAATTTGTAAATACAGCTTACTGTCTCCTACTTTGTCCTCTTGGCAAAGCAACAGCGTGGCGTGATAGAGAGGCCGCCACTGCCAGGCCTGGCTCCACGTGCACCCGCTGCTGGGCACAAGCCGGTCACTAACCCCTTGGAGCCTGTTTCCTCATTTGCGGACGGCACAGCTCTGTCCAGGTTACCGTGGCGAGTAGAGAATGCTGTCCTGGGGCTCCCCTCGCCGAGATCCCTCTGAGGTGGTGGTTGTGTGTGGAAGGAAGAACTCGTCCTTCCTTATGCATGCGTGTGGATTTACATGCCCTATTCTGTCCACAGAACAGGTGCCTCCACGGGGCTACGTCACCTTCAACAGCAGCGATGAGAACCCCCTGGAAGAGGGGGGCCTCTGCTACAGGGACGTCACCTCCCCCATCAATGAGCGGGATGTGGAGAGCAGCAGCAGCAGCAGCCGGGGTACGCACACCCCCCCGCCACCAGTCCAGCTGGGCCGTGGCCCTGTGATGGGTCCATCCGGCAGAGGAGAGGGTGAAGGTTAGAGAAGGTTCTGGCTGTTGTGAGGAGAGTCATAATCTGGCGTGGGGACAGGTGAGGAGACTTCTCACCCAGGGTCTCTGAGCAGGATCTGGGAGTCAGTCCAGACAGATAGGCTTAGTCTCTTGACTGGTAAGTCCTTAGGAAATGTCTTCGTATGTTATGTGCATCGTCCATTCCACAGCTGTTTACCGAGTGTCCTGTGTGCCAAGCACTGGCTAGATGCTTGCATTTATCGGTGAACAGAGCAGACAAACCCTGCCGAGCCTAGAGAGGAAGGGCCTGGCCTGGCAGTCGGCGTGAAGCAGAAGCAAACAGTGAACGATTGGAGGGGCCGGGGAGCGCTGTGGCTGAAGCCGCTCGGGGACAGGGCTCTGGGGAGTCGCCATGGGCGAGGCCTGTGGTCAGGCGTCCTCGTCTTCGCCATTGTCAGAAGAGCACGCCTTCTGTGCCCACCTCGGGGCCGCGCGGAGCAGCAGCAGCAGTGAGGGCCTGGCCCGGGCCCCGGAACTCAGCAGCGAGGCCTCCCTGGAGAGCAACGAGGTGACCCTCCCCCCCTCCTCCCCCTTCCCCGGCGTCGTGGGGGCTGCCTAGCAGTTCACTTGAGGTGAGCGTGTCCATGCAGTGCCACGGGGGCCGCCACCGGGGAGGCCTCTGGCAGGCGGGGGAGTTACGGGAAGTTTCAGAGCTTCCCCACCGTGAGGGGAGCGTGTAGAGGAAGCCGCATACACTGGCGGTGGGGCAGGGAGCAGAGCTTGGATGCAGCATGTCAGCTGCCAGCCCCCGCAGTTGCTTTAAACACACACCTCTCACCACAGGATTCGGATCATGCGCGGAAAAGCTCGGTTCGCAAACAAACTAAAAGCTACGTGAAGACCAAGAATCGTTACAGCAGCAGCGACAGCCAGTGGCCTCCTGGCACCGGGACTTCCTGTGCCCCAAGATTGATCCCCCAGACTGACAGGTCCCCCTACTCAGGACCCCAGGTAAGACCGTGGGGCTTCTTGTGATTTGTGAGGCAGTTATTTGTACTTCCCATGGGGCTGGCACTGTTGAGAGAAAAGAGTGGGGTGGTTTTCTCCACACGACCTAGAAAGCTACTCGGGCTGAGAGGATTCCTAATGGTGAGAGGAGCCAGTTGCCGGGCTTCTGTTCATTCCTTTCCATGGAGGGATCCGTCTCTCCCCCTGGTTTCCATGCTCAGCTCAGCCTCCCTGAGCCTGGGGAGGAGAAACACAGGACCAGCATCACAGAACTGCTTTCAGGTGACAGTGACAAGCTGCATGGGAAGCAGAGGCAAAGTGGCACTTAGTCGGGACTTAATGAGAACTTAATTGCTGCCTTTCTCATCGTGGCTGCTCTGATTGGGCAGTTTGTCCAGGATTACAGGTACAACAGCAGCGCCACTGCCTAGTGTGTTCTCCCACCCTCTGCGGGCATAAGTGGTACAGAGGTGGAAGAGAGGTCAGCATTTGCCATTTATTAAAGTCACAGCTCTGCTCTTCACTAAAAGCCTGTGATTTTAATGGTTTCTCCTCGCAGCCCCTCTGGCGAGCTTTCTCCAGCGCCTGTGTTCCCAGGCTCGGTGAGCAGCTGACCTCTCCATACCTTAAACACATGCCGATTGGAGCCTTTAAATCAGCTTCTTTAAATATGTTCCAAGATTTGGTGTATGTGCTTGGCAGAGGAGCCGGTGGGGCGAAGCTACCTGCTTCTGGGTCGGGGTTTCCTACGTAGCAGAGCAGCTCCGTCACTGCCATCTCCTGAAAGTCAGCCCTTGACACAGGGTTTGTAAAACAGAAACAAAGAAAGGAATAAAATATGTTCCAAGAGCTAAAGGAAACCATGTCTAAATACAGAATATCAATAAAGTGATAGAAATAAAAATGAACCAAATAGAAATTCTGGAACTGAAAGTACAATAACTGAGATGAAAATTTTACTAGAGGGGCTCAACAGCAGGTTTGAGCACACAGAAGAGAGAACCAGAAGACTTAACATAGATCACTTGAGGTTATCCAATACGATAAAGAAGAATGAGGAAAAATGAACAGAAACCTGTGAGACACCAGCAAGTGTAACAGCGTGCACGTAATGGTGTTCCTGGGGAGGAGGGAGGGAAAAGTAGAAAAAATGTTTTAAAATAGCCAAATCTTATCAGGGGAAATGAAAAGACTGCTGTACACTGCACAGTCCGTGGGGCCAAGGCAGAAGAAATCCTGGAGAAACATCTAAAGGTGCGAGAATGCAAGTTAAGAAAAAATAATCTCTCAGATACTGGAAATTTTGATTTGGGGATCCAAGAACACGTCGATCTGGGGATCAAACTACCAGGCATTGGTACCTACAGCCTGGACCTCTACGTGGTGCTGGGGAGGCCAGGTTTCAGCATCGCAGGCAAGAAGTGCAGGGCAGACTGCATTGTGACCAAACACAGAATTAGCGAAGAGGAGGCCCGGCACTGGTCCCATGGGATCATCCTTCCTGGCAAATAAATTCCCATTTCTATCCAAAAGGCCAAAAAAAAAGTTTTCAGTGAAAAAAAAAAAAAGCCAAATCTTCTCAGATTTGATCAAAAAATGAATCTGCACATCCAAGAAGCTGAATGAGCTCTAAGTTTGTTAAATTCAGAGCCACACCTGGACACATCACAATCAGAGTGTCACTAAACAAAGAATCTTGGAGCAAGAGACAAGTGACTCAGCACGTACAACGGGATCTCCAGACAATTAACAGCGTATTTCTCATCAGAAACCACAGGGACCAGAAGACATGGACGACATGTTAACCAACAGTGCAGCGTCCAGCAAAGACTGTCCCCCAGAGTGAAGGAAAAATGAAGAGTCCCGGGTCAGCAGAGACCGAGAGGAGCTGCTGCCGCAGACCTGCCACAGGGTGTGCTTGCTGCTGCAGTGAAGACACTGGTCCAGAGACGCCCTGCCTGCCCTGCCTGAGGACACACAGGGGGCAGCCCAGGCTCTCTGCCGAACTTGGGAGTCAGCAGAGCTCAGGACAGGCCAGGTGCTCAGCAGGAGAAAGGCAGCTCTGTGTGCAGCACAGGCCTTTTCCTGCCCCCACGTCTTCGTGGCCTGCCTGTCTTCTGACCTGCCCTGGCTCCTCACCCTCTAGGACCTCGCCACACTGCTGGAGCAGATTGGCTGCCTCAAATACCTGCAGGTGTTTGAGGAGCAGGACGTGGACCTCCGCATCTTTTTGACCCTCACTGAGAGCGACCTGAAGGAAATCGGCATCACGTGAGTCCCAAGGCCTCTGGCTACGATGCCCAGGAACCAGCTGAGGTGCAGCTCCCAGCATTTGGGTGGAGACCCTTCCTGTCCAGTGGCCAGCTTTCTCCCTGCTGTCAGCTGTCCACTTCTGCAGCTGCTCCCAGCTCAGGTGCAGGCAGCCTGGGTCCCGAGGCCCCGAGCTGGCCCAGCAGACACTGCTGTGCTCAGGGCACCCTGACATTTTCCACTGTCCACCTTTGAGAGCATCCCTAGCAGCCCCAGCTCCCTGTCTAGTGAAAGCAGCAGCCAGGCAGGGTGGGAAGGTCACGACTCCTTACGATGCTTTCTGTCTTCTGTCCCAGGATCCTGGGGGCTACTCTCCCCCTTCAAAGCTGGGATCTTTCTAGCAGACAGTCTTGGTAGAAGGACGGCCCACGGAACCTCCACATAGAGCAGGTGCTGATCCGTGTCCTCTCACTCCCTGCTGTAGGTTGTTTGGGCCCAAGAGAAAGATGACCTCTGCCATCGCCCGCTGGCACAGCAGCGCCCGCCCCCCCAGTGATGCCTTGGAGCTGGCCTACGCCGACCGGCTTGAAGCCGAGATGCAGGAGCTTGCCATCCAGCTGCACAAAGTAAGTAGAGAGCTGGGGCAGGGGACGTGCAGAGGACACAGTGTGGAGACAGATGCCCAGAATCAGCGGAGAGCAACAGCCAGGGCGGGTGACAGGACAGCGAGGCCAGGAAGCATCATGGCTTGGATGCAGTGGGGCGCACAGGTGGGCACAGGAGGGAGAAAGGGTGTCAGCAGCGCACACCACAGGGCTTGCAGGAAGGGGCCCAGGCCGGGGGGGCTCCAAGGTGGAGACAGGTCCCCCCAGGCCAGGAGAGGAGGAGGCAGTCTGATGGCGGAGATGGAACCTGGGGTGGGGGAACCCTGCCCGAGTGGTCATTCCCCACCCCCGAACCAGCCTGCTGCACCTGCTGCCTCTCCCGCTGCAGCGCTGTGAGGAGGTGGAGGCCATGCGGGGCCTGGTGTCACAGGAACAGGAGCTGCGGGCCGTGGTGGAAAGCTGCCTCCTGGAACAGGACGGCGCCCGCAAGGACGTCCATGCACAGTTGCAGGAGACCTGGGCCCTGGCCCGGGACGCTGCGCTTGTCCTGGACCAGCTGCAGTAAGTGGGTGTCCGAGCTGCCCCCGGGCCAGGGCCAGGCCAAGTCACTGTTTCCTCCAGATTCTTCCAAGAATGGGTTGTTTTCAGGGCCTCTTGGAGTCACCGCCACCCCAGTTTCATCTGGCTGTCCCTCCTTGCAGGGCAGACCAGGCAGCAGAGGGGCCCCGTGTGGGTCTTTTCTCTGCCCGGGCTGCACAGGCACAGGCTGGCAGGGCGCACAGGGCAGAGCCTCGCCTCACACTCTGGGAGAAGGGTGTCTGCGATCGCCTGGCCTCTCCCCTCACCAGCGATTGGTTCTCGTGTCCGGCAGAGCCTGTCAAGCTGAGCTGTCCGCCCGAGTGCAGCAGGATGAATCCCCGCTCGAGGCCATGCTGGGCCCAGGCCTCCCCACAGCTGGTAAGGAGAGCAGTGTCCTGGACCCAGAACAGGTAGACAGAGGGCAGGGACACCTCCCCAGGCTGGGTTTTACCACTTGTCTCAGTGCAGTTATCACACTGACACCACCCCACCCCAGATCCTCTCACGTGCCCAAGCCCATGTCCTCACTGTCCCTCCAGGTGGCCTTTGGGCCATGGCTGCCTCCACTGTCCAAGACCTCAAGTGACTTCTACAGCCCCTGGCTGGGCCCCCCCAGGGCATAGCCCAGTAGGCAGGGGCCCTCACACACATTCCTGGGGCTGAGCCCTGACCGGTGTCAGCGCTTTGCTCCACAAGTGGGAGGAGAACACTCTGATATAATGAGGGGGACGTATGGCACCAAAGGTTGGGGGAGGGGGCGTCCCTTGGTCGCAGTGGCTCAGGATGGAAAGGCAGGGCCCGTGAGCACAGACCCCAGGCCTACTCAGCTCTCTGCCCTGCAGACTCCAAAGGCTGGCAGGCCGCCTTGCAGGCCCTGAGCCTCCCTCAGCTGTCGGGAGCCCTGGAGGATCGAGTCCGGGAGATGGGTGAGTCCAGGGGGCCGGACAGCCCACCAGCCCTCAAGGTCATCCATTCCTGTGTCCTCGAGCCCTCCAGACTGCGAAGCAGTAACTGTCTGCCCCCGTTCTCAGGGCGAGTGCTGTGCTTAGTGACCCAGAGCCTGGAGAAGCTGCAAGTGCTGAACGGGAAGGAGAACTGGCGGGAGCCTTAGCCAGGGGGACGGTGAGTGTCTGTCCGTCCAGGATCTCGGCCTCAAGAGCAGGGCAGCTGTGCAGCCGAGCGAGCGCCCCCCTCAGTCTTCCCTTTCCCTTCTCAGAATCTGACGTGGGGTGACTGATCCACCCTGAAGCTGTGTGCCCAGAGGACAGGAGGCCAGCGAGCGGGCAGCTGCAGTGGCCAGGGCCAGAGGATCGGGCCCCAGGAGCAGCTGGCAGACAGGACGGGGCTGTGGCCGGTGCGAGGGCAGCAAGGCCCGCACTGAGGCAAGACGAGGGTCTGTTATCCAGACCAGGAGTGGGGCCCAGAGCAGGCAGGGCCTTGGGGAGAGCGTGTCCCCACACACCACAGGCGCCACACTGAGGTTCGCCCAGACAGGTGAGGACTGGGGCGGGGTGCCTGGGCAGCATATGTCATTTGCTGGAAAATAAAATTTAAGATTGGCTGGTGAGGGGTTCAGTTCTGGTCCCACGGCCTGAGGTACTGGCTGATAAACCACAGTAAGAAGAAAGCTGTGCCAGGGCCCTCGCCCAGAGCACCATGCTCAGGGCAGGACCAACTGGGTGATCCCTGCTGCCCCATCCCTCTGTTGCCTGTAGCTAGGGCCACCTTTGCATCAGAACCCCCATGATTCTACAAAGCTACCTGGAGAGCGAAGCAGGCCCCAGAAATAAGAGAGGAGCAAGTACAGGTGTTTTATTTACAGAGCAGAGTGTCCTCGCCCACATGTGCCAGCCACTTCGTCGAGGCTCTAAGATGGGACACCCAGGCTGGGCCGGGAGCATTGCTTTCCTTACCAGGCCAGCGCTGTGGAAACTGTGAGCTTCACTGAGGAGTCTTTCCAGACGTAGGGCCATAGGAGACCGCCAGTGGTGACCTTCCTGTCCTGTGGTGGCTCTCCTGTTGTCATTGTGCACGCTTGGCCAGTGCTGCCAGACTGCTTCCTGGAGGTGCCTGCAGGCTGTGCTGGGAACAGAGAGGGGAGGCTCTCAAAGGAAGCAGCAGTGGGCTCAGCCCAGGTGCCACCAGAGCCACCAGGATCAGGGAGAGGCATCACACTGTCAGTCTCAGTGAAGAAACCACCAGACCAGGCCCATGGCCCAGAAGAGTCCATGGCTGGCAGTGCCACAGTCAACACGGGGAGGTGGCTGGCACCCCCACCTGGGAGGGGAGGCCTGCATCAGCTCCACCTGAATGGTACCCAGAGCCCCGCTCTTATGCCCGGCCCCTGCCCTCAGGTCCCTGGGTGGCGGGGAAGGGGACACCCTCGTGCATCCACCCCTAGGCCTGTAGCCAGGACTGAAGAACACACAGAACAGCGGAGGCACAACTTTACTGTCCTTTCTCCAGCAGCTCCCTGTACACCTGGGCCCCACAGCCCTGACTGTTCGCAGGGACAGGGCCCAAGACAGAGCAGGTAAAGCTGCTTTGAAAACTCACCACAAATAAAGCTAACAACCAAAATTAACAACATAACCTCCTATCCTGGGCTGGCGTTTCTCCAGACCCTGGGGCTGGCTCGGGGCAGGACGCAGGATGGAGTCAACCCAAAGTTGGCCTCCACAAGAACAAAACTGCCACGAGAACAAAGCAACTTCTCCAGGGTCCAAGTGCATGTGCACTTATCCACTGAGGCCATCAGGAAACACCTGGGGCTCCACCAGCCCACGACACGCACGCAGAGAGCTCGTTTTAGAGTGGGTGCACCCAGGCCACCACCCAGTAACTGCTCTGGGCAGTGGAGAAGAGGAGGTGCCCACTCCCCAACACAGTCGGAATGGGTCAAGCACAGAACATGCTAGAAGACACACTCCCACAATGAGGCTGGAGGGCCCAGCCTCAGCCCACGGGTACAGAGCGCCAGGGGGAGGGCGACAGACACAAGGCACAGGAGCAACCTCAGGAGGAAGATGGGAGCAGCTTCTCTAGGGCCTTCTTCTGCTTTTCTGTGGCCGCAGCCAAAGCTTCAGCCAGCTTTTCCTCGGGCATCATGTTGAGCACCTTGAGAGCAAAGAGGAGCTGGTACTTGGCTGTGCTGATGAAAGCGTTGCTCAGGAAGTTGGGAAAGCCACCGACTCGGTCCTTCTGGGTGTACAGTGGGACGCGCACGAGCCCCAGCACCTGCATGGAGAGGAGACCAGGATTGGGACCAGGCCCCCACACGGATGGCATGGCCTTGGTAGGAGGGGCTTGTGAGCAGCTAGGCCACGGGAAGGACAGCCAGGTTGCCAAGGACATAATGGGAGACCCAGGTAGGGTTGGGTGAGGTAGAAGCCAGCCAGCTCCCTTGGTGCGGTGCAGCCCCTCTCTTCCCCAAGCAAGTTTCAAGGCCATCCCCATGCACATCCCACTCTCAAGTCCCAGCCCTCAACCACTAGCAGGAAGCCCCACAGTCCACACCCCCATGCTCCCTCTTTCACCTGGTGAATCCCAAACACCCCAAGTGCCACTCCCAGTCTTCCAGACTATAAAACCCAGAAGTAGAGCCTTCATCCCTCACACCATGAGATTCCGGCCCATGAACCCAGACCTACAAGATCCCTTTTTACTCTGCAGTTTCACACCTCCCGGAGCAGGCACCGCCCCTTCCCATCCTCCCACCGATCCCACTCCCCACTCCCAGGATTGGCAATGGCAGGCAGCAAGGCAGATGGAACACAGCCCCGAGGGAGCCCCAGCCCCGGCCCCCCTCCCACCCTACCCGACCCCTGGTCCCTCTCCCCACCCCGAAGCTGGAGACAGCGACACCCTCCCAAACTGTCCAGGGGACCCTCAGGGGGACGTGTTACCCATCGGTGCCTTCCGCGGGGCCAGAGCCAAACCCCGGGGCGGGGGGCGGGGCCCGAGCAGCGGCCCCCACCTCCAGGCCGTGATCCCGCGAGTGCACCGCGCTGATCTCCACAGCATGCAGCTGCTCCAGCGTCAGCTGCCGCGCGTACAGGTGCGCCACGACGCGGTGCGGGCCCTCGGTCAGGTGCGAGCTCAAGTAGTCGGCCTCCGTGAGGCGCAGGCAGCCCAGGCCCAGGCCCAGCACCCGATTCAGTCCGTCCTCCAGCGACCAGAAGCGCCGGTCCACGAAGCCCCCGGGGAAGCCCAGCAGTCCGTCGAAGCGCATCTGCATCTGCAAGGGAGCGCCGGGTCACGGGCGCAGGTCCGAGTGGCGTCCCGTACCCGCCCGCCCGCGTCCTCCCGCGTCCTCACCAGCACCGAGAAGCGCATGGGGATGCGGCCGAAGAGTTGCCCGGGGTTTGCGGCGTACAGCATGGCATGGCACGAGTGGCTCCAGCCCGGCCCCAGACGCATCGCCTCCACCCGGCTGATCTGCTTCAGCTCCGGAACCGCCGCCGCCGACATCTTGGCACTACCCACCGCGACCCGTGCACCGCCCTTACGTGCATGCGCGGGCCCGCCCCCGCCGCGCCCGAGCAATCCGCGGACAGCCGCGCCCCTGGGCCCCGCCCCTCCGCCAATCGCTGACGCGCACCAGGGCAGAGCCCGTCACGGCTCTCCGACGCTCCGTTGCGGGGCGGAAGGGGCGGGCACAAAGGGAATGGCTGCGGGCGCCCCAGCCGTCACCCAATAGCCGCGCACCCCGAGCGGGCCCCGCCCACGGCCCTCGACAACCACAGAGCCCAGGATGCAACGCGACAGCCGAGCTCGCAGGAGTGGGGCGTGGACTTCGGGTCCTCGGGCGCGCGGCGCTTGCGGGGTGGGGGCGGTGCTTGCGGAGTCAGGGTTCAGACTACCCGCCCCGAAGAGGGCAGGAGAAGCCCCAGCGATCTCTTTGCCCTCGGCCCTCCCCCAGCGCCTGCCTGGGAGCACCGCCCCGCGGGCTTCCCACCGCCAGCTCCAGGTCTGGCCGGCTCCAGCTTCTGGACGCGAGGGCGCCTCCTGCTTCCCCCAAGGGGCTCAGCTGAGCCCTGGGATCAGAGGACACAACCCTCCCCTGCACGCACGCCAGCCCCATCGTTCTGCAGCCGGCTAAGCACTGGAATCCAAGGTCACTGCTGGTCTGCCTGACTAGAAGAGCAGGAAAGCAGAGTCTGGCAAAGCTCCAACTGCCCTCACAGTACAAGTCCACACCCAGCACTGAACTGGGTGCATGGTGAGGAGTTCTGGGGCTCCCTAAGCCCAGCCTGCTGGGGCAGAAGTGATTTAAATCCCGGGGCAGGGAGCTTCCCAGCCCAGCGCACCAAGTACCCTGCCTGTCAGACACCATAGCCGGGTACTGTTGGAGGAAATAAGGTCTCCCCCACTTTATTCCGAGGAGGAACCTGGGGCTTAGATGAATGGGACTTACCTGAGGGCACCCAGCAGTTTGTGAGAGCCAGGATCCCACCCAAGATTCCCACTGCCTCCTACCCAGTGTACACAACAGAAAACCGTGAAGCTTCAGCAAAAGGGGGCCCGAGTTACTTACCAGGTGTCTGTACTGGAGAAGGAAGTTGCTAGGGCTCGGAAGCGTCAGAAACAGCCATCAGAGGGACAGTAGCGGGGCTCCCCTGGATCCTATGGTGCCACTCGCTCCACCAGCTGGCCCAAGCTCCATTTTTCTCCCACCGTGGACATGGATTTGCTGAGGGAAGGCACCACAGCCTGTGCTCACAGGATGGGTGCCATGGCACAGCCTCAGGAAAGCCATGCAGCCGAGGGCAAGTTCTGTGCCCTGACCGGGGCTGAGAAGGAGAGGGGCAGAGGGCAGGCGAGGGTTGGCAGGATTCGCCAGAAACTCATTCACGTTGGGTCCTCGGTGGTGTTCTGTCAGACGTGGGGAGTAAGGACCCAAAGAGAGAGGCTCTCCCCTACCATGGCCCTCTGCCAGGGGTCAGGGCTCAGGTGGGGCAGCCACAGCTGGCAAGGGGAAGCCAGATTCCAGGGCAGGTAACCGTGTCTGAAGGGGAGAGATTATCAAGGGGAAGGGCCAATTCAGGGAGGACCCCACCTCCAGGCCGCAGACATTAAGAAAGGAGGTGGGTTGGTTTGGGGGCAGTGTGGAGGGAGATCCAGTGCAGCCCATGCAAGAACCCATGTGACACTGAGCGCCCTTCTACCACACTGGGACCATGCCAGACCCAGGCACAACTGAGGGTGGCAAGCCTTCCTTGGGGCAGGGACAGGCTGCCTGAGTCAGAGGGGACCAGAGGAGGCTACTTGGAACTGTGTCTACAGAGGAGCCGGGGCCCTGCTGGTGGGTGGTGGTTCAGGCAGTGCTGCAGTGGGTGTTCTGGAGCCCCAGCCTTTCCCTACGGGGAGGCTGCTCGCTGGGCAGGGGAGCACAGACCAAGCAGAGGGCCCTGGCTGGGCTCCAGCATCCTGGCAGCCAAACCTGCCCCTCCAATCCATTCCCCACATGACAGCTGGAGAAAGTTGCTCCCTTGCTTAGAAGCTTCTGGCTAAAACTACCCCACAAGGTGTCTGCACCCCACACCCCCAACTCTGATGCT